AAACGCAAAGCAGGAGATGAAGCATCGCTGAATATGTTTCCAAACCAACTTCATTCTAAGCCAAAGACTAGAAAATATGGTGAAGCATATCTGCCCTTTGGTTTCACCTGCACAAGTGCAAAGGTAGGTCTCCCCTGCTTAATTGCTTTTCCTGATCCTGCCACGATTTGTTCCCCCGGTTCAAATCCCGGACAAACAGTATCCCACAGTTGTTTATTTATCCTCCTTGAGGAGCCCATTTTGCACAGAGAGGCATTTTTTGAAAAATGTATTGATAGCAATGTTGAATATTATTACACAGGAAAAAAACAACTACATGTAAAATAAAATACAACATGACGCCTCTGCCTTTCTAAATAGAGGGACAGTACCTGCGCGTGTATGTGTAAGCGTGTAAATACTGCAGATAGTGACAAAATACTGTTAATCTGACTATCTGCCGTTCTGCAATTCACCTCATGTAAACAATAACGTGGCACACAGCGTGACGTGAAAAAAGGCACATACCTTTGAGGTTGCGTGAGGTACTCTGTATTCCTCGTCCACACGTAAACGCAAAAAAGGAGTTTTAAAAAAATCTCCGTTTTCGGTGATTCCAAACGCCGTTTACGTGTGGACGAAACAGCTGCCTTTTCAAAAATACCCGTGCAGGCGTGGACGCAGGCGTAAAAGAGTTAGTAGTTTATTTTATTGCTACCTGTAATATATTGCAGATTACTTGTATTTGCTTAATTGTTTACTAAATGTTTGAGGTGTGAAATAAACCGCAGTGGAGCAAAATATGGGTGTGTGTGGTTGGAGGATGTGTGCGTGCGTGTGAGTGTGTGTGTGCATTTTTCTTGTAAAACAAAGGGGGGCCCAGCAAAAAAAGTTTGGGAACCACTGCTTTAGTGGATTTTTAAAATCTGCGTAAAATACGTGAAGCCACACTTTTAAGGTGATTTTTTAAGCTGATCTTGGCAAAGATCTTGTTCCCTAATGATTCCGTGTCCTTCGCAGAAGACAAACACCACCCCGAGCGCTATTTGCATTAAAAGGTGGCTCAGATAACAAGACGTGTTTGCTCAGGAGTGATTTTTCTCACCTGCACTCTTTATCTGACCCACAGGGCACTCTGCTGAGGTTGGCAGCGGTGGTCACTCTCTGGACGATGGCGTGTTCGTTTCGGCACTTGACGTCCAAAGTTAGTTTCTCTGTGATCTCGTTCATGCCCATCAGCTGACCTGTGGAGGTTGTAGGAGCAGAGCACTGGTCAGACAGGAATCCTCTCCCTCCCAGCAGCAAAACAAGCAAAGCAGTTAATAATCTTAATAATAATAGTAGTAATAATAATAATAATAATAATAATAATAATAATAAGAAGAAGACAACATGTACAGTAACAGAGTTCATTTTTTAACCATTGCTATTCTTTTTCAGGGTATCTCTGCTAGCTTCAGACATGTACAGTATTATATACATATACTGTACAATGCAGTGAACATTGCTAAAGTTCTCAGAGGGACTGATGTAATATTCAGTACATCAAGAACTGTAAATGCGACTAACACTTAACACGGGAATGTATTCATGCTTCCCACTGAACACAGGATTTTGTTGGTGAATTTACAGCACAAAAGAAGCAAATTTCTGACTGCTAACCAACTCGAGTCACCATTTTCCAGAGTATTTCCAAAGACAGAAATTCTGGTTGAAAGAGGTATTCAGTACTAATTTTCTCACTTGTGCGAAGATGGCTTGTAGAGAGCAACTGTTTGGTGATTTGCTGGTCAAAAGACGCCTGGATGTCCAGGTTAAAACTAGTATTTCAGTATTATATATCAATACTGCTCTGATGCAAAACAAGTCCTAAAATCGCTGCAATAATAAGTCAAGTGACAGAAAACTTAAATTCAGAAAATTTAGCTAAAACAGACTGCAGTCCGTTCGTAGTGTTAGTGTCTATGCATGCTTCATTTGAACTTTTTTATAACACCAACCCAAATTTAATAAAATCGTAGCTCCTTGCCAAGAGGTTGTGCAGTAAGTTGTGTGAGGGAGCACAAAAAAAACAAAATAGGGGAAAAAAATAAAAATTGCACAAAATGTTGTGGGTCCCACAGAAAACCAGTCAAACGTTTACTTTAACTGCTCCCCACAAACAGAAATTGATGTTTTCTCTATTACACTTACAGGTAGATATAAAGTGTTTCCACAGCAGGAACTTTTTGTAGTATTTAAGAACTAAACCTGCATAAGGATTGTTTCAAGTCACAGCACAGGCATTATAAAACAGATATTTAAGGAACAACCACAAAGTCCCTCCCCCTAACTGAGAATGGTTCCCATTTTTATTACAACTGTCACCACCAGGGGGCAGTGTTATACCAGTGAGTGTGGTGAAATGTTTTTGGATGTGTGCTGCTCTCTCAAACTTTAGCTACTTTTGGCCTTTTTCTCAAGGGGTCACACAGATGGATCCACATGCTTGATCTCTCATGTATACGAGTGAATATACTGAACAGTGTATAGAATCAGACTGCCAATGTAAATAAAATGCAAGGAATGAAAGGTTACGTGGACTTATTGCGCCATCTTGTGGTATGACCTGGTATTACAGGAGAGTAGGTCCCGCACTAGTTCAGCTTTGACTGATATCTCAACGCAACACTCAGATGTTTTGGACCTAAAGTCACAGCTAATCTGTTTCTTTAGATTAGGTCAATATCTTTGGCTCATTTTGAAAGGGTGTAAATCACTATTTAACAAACGTATTAACAATAGTTTGTTAAATAGGTTCCTTCAGTTCCCAGATCCTGATCTTAGTTCCTGGAACTGGTTAAAAAGGGGCTGAAGTTTTGTTTAAAAGTGACCAAAAGTCTGAACTAAATCAAATATTTGCTGATTTAAAAACTAGACCTCAATACGAATTAAAGACGTTATCATTTCCTCTTGAATGACTATAACCTGGTTTTAACTGAGATGTCAAGACCTCTTTTGACCTGCAAAACAAAACCCAGTGCCTGTTAGACCGATGCACTACAAGATGACCAACAGTTCAAACTCCCAGCATGGTTGGTGGTTATCAGAAAGCACATGATCGAGTGCTGCTGTGAGCCAGATGTATATGTGAAAGAGTGAATGAGGATCAGTGGATGAGCATTTCCAGCCATTCCTGGTGGAGCAGGAGAGTGTGAGCGGCAGGTTTGCAGGTGTCTGCAGCTACAGACCCGGAGATGCAGTTAAGTGTTGATTACCCAGGCAAGAAGGGAGGAGGGGGAGTCAGCACGAGGTGTTAAAGGAGGAGGGAGGAGGGGAATGGGAGGAGGGGGTGGTCTGTGTGAGGATGAGTTTGGCTATAGGAAAGGTGGCACACAGACAGCTGGGAACAACAAATCTATTAAAGCCAACTTACCTAGATTGTGTAATAGCTTCTCTATTGGGGAGAGTATGGAGAGGGAGGAACCGTGGATATGACACATGTTTAAAGAGTCACTGTGGGCTTGTTAGAGCTCAAAACTCGATCACTGTTAGGATGGAAAACGAACACCAGAAACCAGAAACATGCTGGGAACTGCTGTCTGCAGCTGCTCTACCATACACCGTCTAATGCAAACCTTTGGTTTGTATTGGTGGATTGAACGTAGCTGATGGACAAAAAACTGTTTCCTGCTCTGGAGGAAGGATGATGTGGAGACTCAGAAACATCAGGCAGTTACTTTGATGTTTACTGCATGTGGCAAATGACTTGCTCGCAATGTTATAAAAGAAAAACAAAACACACATTTGGAAAAGTGAAATATACTTTCTAATTAAAAGGTCCTCATTTCATCGTGTCACACTATATGATGCACATTATCAATGGGTGACTGAGCATCACTGCATGCTTTCCTCTCTGTGTAACTGTTAAAGATCAAAGTGCAGATATCAATGTCTTTGATCAGCAGCAATTTTTTCATTTGTATTTTCATTGATTGACTGTTCAAAAGTTGCAGCTATCAAATCAAGTCAAACCTGAAGTTTCATGTATGTGCTAACTTTTTAACTTTAGATATTCAGCATGTGGTTCCCACATGACTTCAAACATTTAACCCCATCACAACAGTTATTCACAGTCTAATGAAATGAGCGCTATATTTGAACAGAATATATGAAGTGTATATTCAGAGTAGACTACTAACACTCAGGGACAAAACTTATGAGTTGCAGTGCTGCAGCATTAGCTGACTGGTTAACATGTTAACAAGCTCCCTGTTTGGACTATGCAACATTTAAAGATGTGTTGGTGTCAAAGCAGCAACTGAGAAAGTGGTTTAGGGTGGCAACATTCAGGACATCAGAAATATTTTGTGGCCTATTTTTACTCACCTTGTTCCTTTTTAAACTCGTTCTCTGTCAGGAAGACGGGCCTCATCAGCTCCCCGACAGGTGGCTGGATCGACACGAAGAATTTCCTGGTGTGAGTGCTGAAAAAGGAGGAACGGTAGTGTCAGGGATTTGTATTTCGTCTTTTGTTCTTAAACTTCAAAGTTTCCCAAACAGCCCTGACCCTGGTGGGATGACAGAAGTGGAATAAGATTTTTTTAATTATACAAGTAAAATATCTGATCTGACAGTCTGGCGGTAATTTTATGACTGTTTTCAAAACAACAGGAAACTGAAAAATGTCCATCAGTATTTCTCAAAGCTTCAGTAGGTGTCATCAATATGTTATGCAAAACCCCCAAAGATTCAAATCAGTAAAGATTAGTAAAGAGTCAATGCAAACTTTCAAAAGCTGCAACTATTAAAGCTTGTGTCCGATAACAGCAATACTTTGGCGAGTTGTTGAGCTTTTTAGTCAGTTAAGCTAGGGTGACCATATTTTGATGTCCAAAAAAGAGGACACTTGGCTCAGTCATGAAGAACTTGCTTAAAGAAACATATTTAAACGATGCCTTCTCTGTGCGGTTAATGAATTGTGAAATAAAATCTGTCATATAGGACCTTACAAGTCAACAAGTGCAAAGAAAATAACTTAAAAACCTCTGGAATTAAATAATGGTACAGAAATAATGCCTCATGTGCGTAAGAAAAATTACCAGTACTGGGTCGGTACGAGGGAAATTTCTTTTGCAGTTCGTCTGAAAAGATTCACTTGCGTTTTGGGATCTTTTAAACATCATTAGGCGCGTTCCTGCGCGCTGTCTGTCCCTTCTGTGAGCGCAGAAAAACTTACAAGTGCTCACAAAGCAGCAGTTCGGGGATGACTTCAAACACATGGGTCCTCTGTCGGAATGTAGGAAAACCCGGACATTTTTATCAATCTCGAAAATCCCCCCGGACGTTGTGTCAAGCCAGCCTCCAATTCGAGACTTGCAGTCAAGCCAGCCTCGAGTTTGTTTTCTGCTCCCTGTGTATTCAAAGTATTACGGGAAGGGAAACCGGATTTCAAAATAAAAGCCAACTTCGAGTGAATTAACAGATATGTTAAGAACATAGTAACATATAATATAGGCTTGTTCACAAACTCTAATGTTAGATCTACATGACACAACCTTGCACCCTAATAGCGCCCTGTTAATATCAAGGCCATCTTATTTTGGATTTCAAAGTAAAAGCCCTGTGAATTTTCATTTTTGAACTACTCTTACAATGACTTCATAATGCTCTTAAAAGCAAAAGTGTTCTTTCCAAAGACTAGTTGCACTTTATATCAACACTATCCAACCACAGTGTTTTTCACAGTAATACCATGTCAATATCAAGTCAGTCTGATTTTGCCTTTCAAAGTAATGGCCCTTTGAAATTGCCCATATTTGACTTACTCTTCTAACGATTTCAAAATGCTCTAAAAAGAAAAATTCTTGTTTCCACAGGATAATTTTACTCTGTATTTACAGTATACAGCCCCCAGTGATACCATGTCAATATCAAGTCAGTCTGATTTCACTTTCCAAAGTAATGGCCCATTGAAATTGCCCATTGATGGGCAAAATCAGACTGACTCAGTCTGATTTTGCCTTTCAAATTCATGGCACGTTGAAATTGCCCATATAAGACCTACCTTTCTGTGATTTTGTAATGCTCTAAAAAAGGAAAATGTCTGTTTCCACAGGATAATTCCACTTTAGATCAACAGTATACAACCCCACAGTGATACCATATTAATTTCAAGTCAGTCTGATTTTGCTTTCCAAAGTAAAAGCCTTTTCAAATTGCCCATATCTGACTTACTCTTGGAACGATTTCAAAATGCTCTAAAATGGAAAATTGCTGTTTCCACAGGATAATTCCACTTTAGATTGACAGTGTACACTATCACGGGGATACCAAGTCAATTTCAAGTCGCCTTGATTTTGCCTTTCAAAGTAATGGCCCGTTGAAATTGCCCATATATGAGCCACTCTTTCACTGACTTCAGAATCCCCTTAAAAGCAAAGTTGCTGTTTCCATAAGATCATTTCACTCTACATTGACAGTATACAACCCCACAGTTTTATCACGTCAATATCTTGATTATAATTGTTTATGAGGTACTTTTTATAACTAAACGCGGATGCTGTTAACAGGACAATTACTGTTTCCATTAAGTAATTGGAGTCCACACAACCTCTACAGTGGAAACATCTCAATCTCAAATCAATCCCATTTTGCATTTCAGAGTAAAAGCCCTTTGACTTTGTTTATAGGAGCTTCTCTTTCCATAACTTCAGAATGGCATTAAATGGAAAGTTCCAGCTTCCACCCATTAATTCCAGTTCATGCCAACACATATCATAACATATAATCTAACAGTGGAGTCGGGAAAGGTTTTATAAAACACCAGAGGTGCCAGACATTCCTTACGAACAAAAATAATAATAACAATAATTTTTCTGATCACAGAGAAAAATTCCTAGCTCATCTGCTATTTGTATGAGAATTGAAAAGCCTGCAGATAATTTTCTGAATCCAGTTGCTCAAGGCAAGAAAAGGTCCCAGTCTTTAGATTCCTGCCCATTCCTGAAACACGTTACAATGGCAGTGTCATCTGAGTATTTCTGGATTTGGCAAGACTCAAGATATATATTTGAAGTCTGCTGTATACAATATGAAAAGAAGTGGAGCCAAGACAATCCCTCTCCCCAACCTGACAAAGTTGTGTTGTTTCTGTCAAACCAGCTCTGTTTTCTCTATATTTAAATTTCAACTTTGTGATCATATGCACTAGAGCTGATTTAATAGCTAAAAATTTTACTTTACTGTGTGCTTGGTTAGCACTGTTGCCTCATAGCAAGAAGGTCCTGAGTTCATTTCCACCATCAGGCCGGGGTCTTTCTGTGTGAAGTTTGCATGTTCTCCCTGTGTTTTCGTGGGTTCCCTCTGGGTACTCCAGCTTCCTCCCACAGTCCAAAGACATGCAGTTTGAGGGGATAGGTTAATTGATTAATCCAAATTGCCCATAGGTGTGAATGCGGGAGTGAATGTGAGCGCAAATGGTTGTCTGTTTCTGTGTGTTAGCCCTGCGACAGACTGGCGACCTGTCCAGGGTGTACCCTGCCTCTCCCCCTATGTACCCTGCCTCTCCCTGGGATATGCTCCAGCACCCCCTACGACCCTGGATAGGATAAGTGGAAGTGAATGGATGAATGAAGCTAACGGATTCTACAGTATTTATGAAAGTCTTCAGTTGCAGAAATTAATAATAGACTTCTTTTTAAGGACTTTTTCAACATTTTCATTTTATACGTGTTTCCCTGAAGCAGTATTGTTTAGAAACACTAGAGATTGTAGCTTTTATGTATTTATCTATGACGCCAGATTACACGAATCAATTAGCTAAACTAAAATCATAATGCCATGGTGACCTGTAATATTTGGCTTCAAAATTTAAACATAACACAATTACCAAAGGCCTTCGAAACATGGTGTCTAACCAGATACTTGCTGAGAACAACATTGCCTTGGCCCTGGTGTGGGTCAGTAGATGTTTTAAATTGCAGTCTCAGATATATGAGAATTTGGCTCCCTGGCACTTTCATCTCGCATGATGGCATTTGGTTGATAGTTCTTAAACTGTGATGGTGTTGACTTCATCAATATAGGAGCCAGACAAAATAAACAGCATTTTTCCATTTTAGAGCTTTCTGAAGTCATTGAAAACGCACACCGATATATGGTCAATTTGAAAGGCCCATTATTTTGAAAGGCAAAATAAGAATGATTGATATTGACATGGTATCACTATGGGGTTGTATACACTCAATATAGACTGCAACTAGTCTGTGGAAACATGAGTTTTCCATTCTGAATTAATTAAAAGAGTAGTTCAAAAATAAACATTCAGAGGGCTTTTACTTTGAAATCCAAAAGGAGATGGCTTTAATATTGGCATGTTGCTACTAGAATACTGGGGTATGTCATTTGTATCCAACATTAGAGTGTGCAAACAAGACTAATTGATATTTGTGAATGTGCTCTTAATTTACTGGAAGTCGGCCTTCATTTTGAAATCATGCTTCAGGAGCTTTTATTTTGAAATCAGGTTTCCACGTCTTTTGCCATAATACTCAGAATACACAGGGAACGTAAAACAAAGTGGAGGCTGGCTTGACACCAGTAAAAGTGGACGGTTGGTCACCCTAGTTAAGTGTTGATGCTAGCCTCAGATAGCTGCTTTTAACTGGTGTTAGTGAAACTTTCTTTGAAGCAGATCCAAGTGTTGGGCTTGGACCGGAGCCGGTCTTATATACTTATTAATGAAAAGCACATCAGTTTGTTGGAAGACATAATTGCACAATAATCTGTGTATATTTATAAGTACAACAATTTTTTTCCCATTAACCTCAAAAATGACTGCCTGTAGCTTTATAGAAATTCAGAAACCACTGGAGTGTTTTCTCTGATATTATTAAATGTGAACTGAATCGAATCAAGAGTTTTTCCAAATAATTAACTAACTTCCTGTCTGTATATCAACGTATCAGTGGCTTAGCAGACTAACTGCTGCAGCGCAAATGCAAATCTAGCAAATCCCAAAAATGAAGCAGACCGGCAACCAGAAGCAGGACTGCACAGGAGGTCTACCCTCTGTAATCAAGAGTCCGTCTCACCACAGCTGGAAGTTTGCTGCTTGCGTTGAATCACAGAAATCGATGCCCATCACAGCTGTGGCCGTCTCACCTGCCGGAAGTAGCTCTGTGGACATGGAGGAAAGAAAAAGCCTTTAGTGTTTCCACACAAAAAACAGGCACAACTCTTAAAAGTCACATGAAAAACCGAGACAAAGATTAGGATGTGAATGTTCATACTGAAACATCTGAGACGTCCTTGTACAAAAAGTGTCCTCTAAGAAGAAAACTGAGATGGAGGCGCTGCTGACAACTTCAAAACTGCCACACTTTGTTTTTCTCTAAGTCAAGTCAACCCTGATGGACATGTTAAAATGCCCAACTCGAGTGATGAAGGCAACATTATTTACAGACTGGGTTTTATTAAGGTTTAAATTTAAGGGCACATAACTCGTGGCATGTGTGCCGGCTGTAGCTGTAGCTGATGTCAGGCCTCAGGTAGGGACGTTCAAGTCACTGAACTGTAACCACTGCGCCCATATTTATGGTGTTTTGCAGCTTTTTGATAGAATTACATGAGTAATATTATTGGTTACTGAGTGGCAGAGCTAGTTCAAGACATTTTGGTGAACAAAGTTCCAGTGTTTTATCAGTTTGTGGCTTAACACTAATTATCAGGATACTGGTGTCTATGTGGTTGCCCGTGTACAGGTCATAGAGGCAGCTTGCAACCTGTTGCCGTTAGGTGAAAGGACAGAAATCCATCAAACTTGTATTTCATGTTGATAATAAGTTTAATGGAGGAATTTAAATGTGCTGATATGTATATTTTAATATGTAGCAGGCTGATGGTCCCCTTCTTGTCTATGAACAAACTTAAATTAGAATTTTCAACTTCATAGTCACAAAAATTCAGCATCTTATTTACAGCTTTCCCTGAAGCAAAATTATTGTAATAGAAAAAACACCGACATCTGCAACAAGTACGTCTGTTTTATCTGGTGTAATGAACAGTGCAGTTTCCAAGCACTGCCAGCAGGGTTGTATTTCATATGCCCGTGCATGTACACAGTGGACAATCTTACACACCGATCTCTGGGAACTCCTTGACCCTCATCCCAGACTGGAGCTTCACATCCTCTATGTGCAGGTTCTTGGTGTCGGAAGAGGCGCTGTTGGTGAACTGCATCTGCACCGCCACCATGTTGGCGTCAGGGCTGAAAGGCTGCCGGCTGAAACAGTACTCCACCGACAGACCCTCACCCGTGATCCGGTGAAGCAGCTCGTAGCTCTTCAGCGCGCTGGAGGGAGCAATGGTCTGTAAAAAGACCCCTCTGGTTTGTCATCTGCTTTAGTTTCCCCCCCCCCCCTCTTCATTTTCATTTCATCGCTTCACTAACAGAGAATAAAGATGTCAACAAGCAAATAATATGAAACACTTACTGCTGGGGAGAGGACAGAGTCAGACAAAGACAGCCCCTCCAGGTCGGTCACGAGGCTGTTGGATAGGAAGGTGTTGACCGGTGTGACTTGTGGTGAGGGAGCAGGTTCAACTAAGAAAGAAAGAAACAAGACACGGATGATGTTCCCAAATTCAGACCAGTGTGCAGTCATCTAATGGATGTTTTTTCCTTTGGCATCTTTGTAGAATGTGAAGGGGTTTAGGTGTGAATTAGCATCTCCAAGTCTGGTTGAGAGTTTAAGTATCTTGGACGGTTTGTTTATGAATGAGGGGAGAGCATCGGTTTAATGGAAGCTCTACTTTCCTACCTATTCTGTGGACACATCTGTGGGTGGTGACCAAACCCTTGAGCTCAGTCATCTAAAAGGGGCTCAGATTATAGCTGCTGCTCCTCAAAAAGAGCTAATGAGATGGTTCAGGCATCTGAACTGCATCTAATTCAGAAGTGGTTTGTGCATTTTGAAATGGGATGAGATTCTCAGATGAAAGAGATGAAGACGGTTCTGGGAAGAGGTAGATGTGGACACCTCTGCTTAGACTGCTTTCCGTTCTAAAGAGAGTGCCATACATTTTCTACTGTCTGAGAAGAAAAGCTGGAAAGATCGAGAAAAAGAAACAAAAACAACTTACAATCATCAAGGTCGAGCAGAGACATTTCTTTCTTTTCTTTCTTGCTCTCTTTCTTGAGAGGCTTGGGAGGAGGTTTAGATTCAGCCGTCTGGAGAACAAAGAAAAACTGTCACGAATAGACGCTGTTCATGCTGCTGTATAGGAAAAGGGGCACAACTGTGCTCTCTTGTATTTTGAAATGCTAAGGTTATAAGAATTTTAGTGGCTTCTTAGATACAGGCTGTATCAAAAAGAATAATCTGGTTTAAAAGTGCTTTTATTCACCGCTAACGATAGAAACACACACCGATGGAAAGAGCGGATTCATTAGCTTCACATGGTTGGTGGTAGGTAGCATAACAACAGCAGGGGCTGTGTGAAACCTTATATTCAGTCATGTACTTCTATATTTATTGCAAGCTTCTATGTGCATTACTTAAAAAAGAAAACCCAGCCTTTTTAAATCTGATGATTGTTTTTGATGCACCCTGCTGCTGTGCACTTTCTCTGTAGTTAACCCTGGTTTGCACCTTTTTTTTCTTCTTGACCTCAGCCTCTGACTCCGAGTCTTCAGACTCTGACTGGCTGCTTTCAGACTCGCTTTCCTCATCTTCGTCAGATTCAGACTCTGACTCGCTCTTGCGCGGTTTACTCTTCCTCTGGTGCTTCCTCTCTTCTTCTTCGCTGCTCTGCTCACTGTCAAAGGAAACCAGAGGTCAAACTTCCCCCAAGGAGTCAAACTTTATTTTCTACAAACAAAGCGACCACCAATTCTAATAATAACATCCATAGTCCAGCAAATATGCCTGACATGGCATGCAGTGTAAAGCAGTCTACCTTTCGCTTTCTTGCACTGGCTTCTTTAGATCTTTCTTTTTTTTCTTCTTCTGTTCCTCTTCCTCCTCCTCTTCTTCTTCCTCAGACTCGGAGGCTTCCTTACTCTCTTCGCTCTCTGATCCCGACCCGCTCTCCTCGCTGCCACTGCTGCTTTCCGAGCCACTGGCAGAGTCTGACTCTGTGGAGGGAGAGGTCAGAGGTTAGAAAGGCTACACAGAGTAAGTGTGATCTGAAGGCTGTTGGTATTCACATCTTACACGGCGTCCTCTGACAAACAAAGCAGCTGGGACTGAGTGAGTCTGCGTGTTAAACTGTTTTACCATCAAAAAGAGTCGAGCTCATCAAAACCAGAGAGGAGATCAAACTTTTATTATCCTTTGTATTATTGATGCCTCAGACACTTTTTTCCTCCAGAGGCGAGGAAAAAGAAAAAAAGATAAAGCAGAACTTTTAACTGACATTCTCAGATTTTCTTTCAGCGTGAAGCTGAGGCAGACACATCAGAAACAACTAAAGACAGAGGTGTTTTATGCTACACCCGCACTCACAAAACTGCATATTGTCTATAATATTATTGTAGCCGATGATAGTTTCTGCAGCAGTAATAGTGAGGAATATTGATAATCTTCTTAAAAGAAGATTATCAATTAAAGATAACTGATCAGATGGAATCAGACATTTAGGGCTTTACTTTCTGTTTAATGTGAAATACTGTTGAGGCCAACAGATATTCAAAAGCTAGTAACAGTACCGATGTTTCAGTCAGTACTGCTAAAAGTAAGAATAATATGAAGCTCTTAAAAGAATATAAAACTATATTCAGAGTACAGGGATAATATCCAAATTAGCACTTCATACAGTAAAGGCCACAACGTATTTTGCAATTTCCCAAAAATAATAGGATGTAATTTTCAGTGCCTAAACTTGAAGCTTAATAACTCTTGAAGCAAATTTGTAAAATGTTTATTTGGGCTTTTTAGCCTTTATTTAAACAGGACGGGGGAGAAAAGATGGGAAGGCTGGGAGGAAGAGCAGGAGGACGACATGCAGCAACTGGTGATATACCTCACCCTATTTGTATTTTTAAGTGATTTTGGTGTACTTTAGACAATAAGAGACAAAATTATACTGGAAGTAATGAGGCTTTTCTATATTTCCCCATCTTAAGGTGTTATTAGAGTTATTTTAAGGTTGAGGGATGTATTCCTTAGTAGCTCTTCTTCCGCATCTCACGCTGTAATTAATGGGGAATATTTCTATGTACTGAAAATTCCACACTAAACTCAGAAAACATTTTGGAAAATTACACAGGCAGCATTATAAACTGCTACCTAGTGTCTTATTTTACTCATATGATTCAAATCTATTTTTTTAAATAACATTGTGGCTTTACTAATGTTCACAGAACTGCTTTTAAATGTTAAAATAAGATAATAATGCACTACATTAGGAAATCAGGATCAGCATAATTATACAGGCGTGCTTGTTGCTGTTAATGCACTTGCAGAATAAAGCAGGTGAAAACATTTGGATGAACAGATTTGTGCACTGGGAGTGAATGAGGTCCATGTATGAACAAGACAAGTTTTGTTTCTCTTCAGTTCTGCCTTGAGTCACCTCCAAATGTGGTCCTCAGATAATGATCCTCAATAAAAGCAGAATTGATTTGACTTTTGCTGCCTCACGATACATCATGAGGTCCTGAAACCTCACGAGAAGTCATGAGACAGCACCATATATACGCAGGTTAAAAGCAGCCGTTGACATTCTGAAATTCTTCATTACGTCTTTTCCATTTATGTCAGGATGTCACCACCCCTGGCATTGACCAGCTCTCCACACACACTCCTATATAAAAATCAGCAGCTGCTCCCTCACAAATTTTGCTGTCTGTCTCCACATCCTCATCATCACACACTCATTTGAATTTGCTGGAAAATCGCTGCACATCGACTTGTAACCATCAACCCTTGATTGGTCTCTGTGTTTAGTTTTATGCAACATATTTAAACAATAAATTCAAACTCCGTACTGATACTTTCATCTGGTAACATTCTATATTTTTTTCCATTGCCAGTAAATCAAAGTAGAAGACATTTCTTCTGTTCTTCTGGTAATACATTAAATGTGCATTAAACCCCCCGAGAAATAGTCTGCAGCCAATATTGTTATTGCTGTTGAAGTCTCTAGTTGTCTTAGGGCATTATGACCAATTTTAAAGATTTATACAGCTGGACTTGGACCTGAGTGCCACAAACAGGGTATGAAAGTTAGAAAGGATTGAGAGATGGACCTTATTTCTTTAGATTTTTATAGAATTGGTCAACAACACAAATCTCAAGGGCTTGCTGAAAGGGGGTGATATGATTATTAGGACTTATTCTGTGGGTCTTTACAATTTTATATTGTAAAGACCCACAGAATAAGTTGAGGTAACAGTTGTTGTGATTTGTAATAAAATTCAATTGATAATGAGGTTATTCTTTGAGACTGTCTCGTTTTACCAGCTCCTACCAAGATCATTCACACTGACTCAAAAGTCTCTCACACAAACACACACAAACACACACCCCTGTTGTGAGCACTACTTATTTAGTCAAAAAAATGACCATGCTATCAGTGCCAGCAGCCTAAAGTTACCACTGTCAGCAGACTCCGTAGGACCAGACTCTCCCTCTGAGTCGGTGTAGAACGGCTTTTCTACTTTCTTCTCCTTCCTCTTCTCACGGCTACTGCATTTGGTCCACTCAGGCACCTGGCATAAAACAAAACGGAAAAAGCGAGAGTACAAACAGTAAGCCTCCAGCCCCGCCTCAGAGAGAAAACCCTCAGACAGAAGCAGAAACGTGGGCAGATAGCATGGCCATGAGTGCCTCTGCCTGGGCGTGATGCAGCCAAAAGAAGCCAGCCATCGCTGCTGCAGATCTGCTCTCAGATCCCACAGCCAAGGAGCAAATTTACACCAATGCTTCAATGGAGCGAGTCGTTTACTTGTTTGCATTAGAGTTTTCTGTTTTTGCACACAAAGACGTTAGCACCAGGTGTTGCCTTCATGACCAGTTGCAGAAATGCGTTTCTTGTAATAATATAGGAGCAGTTCCATTAAGAGAAGTGATATCTTTGAGGAGCAGTAACTATCCTCCTACACTTAAAAAGAAAAGGCCATCTGCTTTTTCTGTGACCAAACTCATTAACCAGAGCCATCTGCTAATGAGCACGGACATCTCAGCCCCACTTAATACCCACAAGGAGCCTAATGCTGCGTGACGTGCCTGAGCACCGATCTGCCTGCTGAAAGAATCACTTCTTTAATGGTAGAGACTGAGGAACAGGGTGCTGTGTTTCAGGTAGCTTTGGCTGAGCTAAGCACAGAACAGCGACTACTATATGCGGGAGGGAGGCGTTCAGTTTAAAAGCACTTGGGTTTTTGCGGCTATATGGGTTGAGGCTCAAGAACGTGTGGCTGTTTGCCGCTAACTGACTCACACTTGTTAATGTTGTGACTCTTTCAAGCAGCGTAAAAACCTGGCAGACGTAGGGGAAAAAAAAGATTGGGATGGAGATGAGGAAAAAAGAAGGAAGAGGTTTCTTTCAGAATAAAAGTCAGGAGAGCAAGAGAAACAGGCACAGGAAGGTTTCAGGGGCTAAAAAATAAGAATGTGTGAGAACAGTTTTGGATATCACAGAGACAAAATAATAAGAATAATCCTAAATTTAATTACATGATAACTTTTAAACACAGTATTTGATAAAAGTAATCAAAAGGACAACTTCTGTTGGTAAAAAATCAACATACTCCAATATAACTACTGGATATACCTTAATACGTACTCATACTGTCAAATTAAAAGTCAACATTAGCATTCACTACTTCACCAATACATCAAAAAAAAAATACATGAAATGCACTTAGTCTTCACCAGCAACAAAGTATGATATGCTAGCATGGGTGAGATGGGCAGAATGAAGAGCAGCACAGGTGGAGCAGCAGCGGGGTAGAGGAAGAAATCTGAGAACAAATCACATCAATCAAAAAGAAAAAAAAAAAATCACGTGACAACATTTGTGACGTGATCAGCAAGCGAGTCACAAACTTCATGAAGAAAACCAAGCAGATGGACGGGAGGAGACCTGGAGGAGTCCCCGTCAGCAGGTCAAAATCTTTTGTTTTGCTTTAAGCTCTCACAAGGCTTCTGTTCTATGTTGGCGTCACTAAAAAGTGCACCTGAGTGAAAGAGAAGCAATAAAATAAACAGATCTGTTCCTTAGTAGTGTAGATGTTTTTAACATTTAGAAACTTAAAAAAAGGTTTTAGCTAACCCCAAAGCAAAACACCCTTCATCCTTCCACTACTGTACTATCTTCACGTGTCACATGACCACTCCTACGATGTCTATTTTCTATAGACTATGGAAGCTCCCCGAGCTTCTACAATGTAGCATAATGTTCATTTCAGTAATCTACCCTGTCTAAATGTTGGCTGCTTATCAAAAGGCACTGAGGCAGAACTAGCCTGGCATTGAGCATCAGCACTTCTGCTTTCTAAAGCAAAGCCTGGAAAAAGTCTTTGAGAATGAATAACTTTCTGTCAGAGGATTAACGTCTACAGCTCTGCTCTCACAATATACCTTCCTGCCAAATATTAATCTTTTCCAGTTCTTGTAGATCCTTTAATTTCACTCCTGCCACTAAATTACTGCTTCAAACTCGTTTTAGGGCAGTGTTTGGACAAATGAACAAAAATCTCATGTGCAGGAGGCACTCATCAGGTGGGTATGGACAGCATGCACCTGTAAGCTTCACAGGTACATGTTTTCCAAGCTGGCAGGTGGAGAGGTTTAAGATAAGAACATGAAGATTTTTTCTCATGAAACTCGCTATATATTTAAAATTTTCAGCCAATATGAAAGAGAAGTCCCAAAACTGCTGATAAAGACAGTGTGATATGTTTGGAAGCCCCTGTTGGAGCTTAATGATTAAGTAAATCTTGAGACTAGAAGATTTTTTCCTGAGATTAAGAATTGATTTTGACTGGTCTCATTTACAAATTAGAATCAGCTTTGTTTATAAAATTAAAGAAACTTCGATCCCACTGCTTATTACTAAACAATTTATTGGACCCCTTAAAGCTGAACTCTGTCTGCTTGAAACAAACACAGTGGTCAGTCTTACTTCGTGTGAACTGACAGAGGATTTATTTCTATGATGTCACCTAAATGGTAAATGGCCTGTATTTGTATAGCGCTTTACTAGTCCCTAAGGACCCCAAAGCGCTTTACACATCCAGTCATCCACCCATTCACACACTGTGATCATTGTGTGATATGAAATGTGTAAATCATTTTGTATAAATGCCAACATCAGCAGTTTAGACGTTAACTGACAGGCAGGGAAGAAACAGAGAGAGCAGTCATCAACGCAAACACCACTGCATTTCCAAACTCAAAGGGAGGGGCACCTCTCGCCAGTCTCCTAGTAAGCCGATCCGCCCCTCTCCGGTGGTTATGACCTCCTCTGTCTGTGGAGGACCGTATAGCAGAGGGAGAGTCTGTCAGAGAGGCTGAGGCTTCAGAAGATTCACTGACCCTCCCAGCTTTAACAGCCACAACGTGAGTGGATGCAATGCGAGATTTTCAGAATAACCCAGAGAGGTTTTTCCAGCAGCTGAACTTCAGAGGACAGTACTGAGTGTTTTACAGCTCTGCTTGTTTTTGCTCTTTAACTACAAATGATGTATAATAATGATTTGAAAGGCACACTATAGCTTTTCGGTCTGATTTCTTCCCTCAGCACTCCCTATGTTCTGAAATTTGTGAAATTTAGCTTTGCTGCTGATTACAACTGCATTTTAGCCACGAGATATCAAGAGGGGAATTAAACGAGTCTGACTGGATATAAAAACACACACCTAACTGAACCTAATCAGTATTAATAAGCTTAAATATACTCTTAAAACAAGGAAAACTGGCAGATCCCAGCTTTTGGAAGGCTGGCCACAAGTATTGTATGGAAAAAAATAACTTGTTGACTAATTTGCATGCATTTATATCTTCGTGTAACAGCTCATAAATCACTCTAGTAATCTACTGCTCATAACCTTTTTTTTGCTTTAGTGATTCCTTAATTTTTACACTTACAGAGTGCTAGTTTAGCCCACTGGTTGAGTGGGTGACGATATGCAATGCAGCAGAAACGCAGTGGTTTTAGTCCAATATCAAATAAAGGCAAAAATGGCCCCCCTGAAATTTTTTTTCATTTTTTCTTCTTTTTCTTCTTTTGTACATTTGCACATTGATAACTATATATAGATATTTACGAATTTGACAGGTTCAAGCAAAGGCAAGTGATGAGCCTGTTGCACCCGCCGTTCTCGCCCTGGCAAAGCTGTCATTTCAGCTGGTCGTGCACGGCTCCGTGTTTGTAACCTCGTGCAGGTGTCACGGCCGGTGCGACTCAGTTTGTGTATAAAAACACAGACGCTGAGAGATTCCCAGATCACTCAGAGGGAGAAAACTAGCCGAGCAGCAATGAAACTGTGAGAAATATGACGCAAACTGGAAAAGCAGAGAATTCTCCTTCAAAGTAAAAAATTGTGCCTTACTGCTGTGACCAGCACATTTCAAAAGACTCAGCTTTTACCTTGAAGGCAAACAGTCTCTGGTTCATGTTTCACTACCACCGTGCGAGTAAGTCCTCCACAGACTAAGCAAACATTCAGCAATCTGCACACGTATTTTTCCTTAGTCACAGCTGCATTACCACACGATAAAAAGCCATCCTGATGACAAAACAACAATTTTCTAAAAGTAAAGATCCACTTGGGAAAACACTGATGTGTTTAACCGGCTAAACTGTACAAACATCATGGTCAAGAACATGAAAGGCGCCTGTAGCACCACATTGAAATGTGCTTCACACTTAAAGAGACACGACATGGATTACTGCGCTGTGTGTTAAAAAGCAACATTATTGTTACGAAACACATGTCACAACAAAATCAAGCCTTGAGGTCACTACTGAAATTTAAAGTTTTGTCTCCTTTTCTTCTTTTTTTAGATGGAGTAGTGAAAACACTCAAGTCTTGATTTCACGTTAATTTAACTGATGAACCGATGGCACATGGAGTGAATGGGATGGAGAAGAAGAGGAGGCTTTGGAGATTTGGGCTGACAGACTTTTGTGTTTTAAGTATTGACTAAACATTAATACTACTGTCAGCATGCTGCTGTTAAAATCTGTTCTCTTCTCTATCGCATGTGCTATTGGCTCAAACAGCTGTCAGGAAACATCTGGATGGGGCGAGTGAGCTGCTGCTGAACAGAAGCGAGTGCAGCAGAGAGGATGAGGTGGAGCTTCATGCCACTGACTGTTTCTATAATGATTCGGGTGTTCTCAAATTAGGCACTTTCTGTCTAACATGTTCTCTCATTAATATGAAAATAATCCTCTTTTCTCCTTTGTGACTCATTCTCCTCCATGGATGGGGAAGTTGTTAAGCAGCATCCATTTTGAAGTAGATGGAGACCAAAAAGGATGAGCTGTTAATGCTAATGAGCTGTAAGCAAATGAAAGATGACCAGTGAAAGAGGAATCAATGTTATATTGGAGTTAGTGTCAGGCTCTGGTGACTCTGTCCAACCCCTCTGAGGCACTGCTCTGGGGAAGGAGCAACTCTCGCTCCCCTCCATTCTTTGGGGCCCCCAGAGGGCCCCTGTGTCTCTGTGTGTTACTGTTCCCACTGCACGCACAGACTCCTTCACCTCCACGTTGCGCACGGAGGGGTCAGGGGCAGCTTCAGGCCAGTCAGGCAACTCCTGGTAGCCCCCAGCCTTGGCATTCAACAGGTGGGAGAGTGAACCCAACTGGAAGTGGTCTCGATCTGCAAAAAGAAGGAAAAACAATGCAAGCACACACAGAGATCAGTGCAACAGAAAGAGCAGAGTCACTCTTATCATAACACAGAATCACAAAGTTCTGAGAAAGAACTTCAACAGCTTTGAATTTAGTTAAGCTCCACTTCAAAGTCATCTCCTTGTGCACCTCTGGACCCAAATCCTTTTTTGACTACATGCATGTGAACTCAAACTGAAGAAAACATTAACTTGTGTGGACCACTTCCATTTACAGCCCAGAGACCAAACAGGAGTTATTAGTGGAATTCAATTCAATTCAGTTTTACTTATATAACACCAAATCACAACAACAGTCACCTCAAGGCACTTTATACTGTACAAAATTCAGACGGAAACCTCAACAGCTGGATGACACCCCGTGAGCAAGCAAAGGTGGGAAGGAAAAACTCCTTTTACAGGAAGATACCGCCGGCAGAACCAGGGACTGGTAGGGACGGCCATTTAGCCCGACAGGTTGAGGGAGAGGGGAGGGAGAAAGAACAAAGGACAAACAGCTAGAAGAGTGTCTAAGTGTTAACTGTGTCCTCCGTCCCAAAGTTGGAGGATCGCTGTTTCAAAGAAGAAGAGTGTGTATCACAGAGGGTACAAAGTGGCAAACAGGGAATTAAACCAAGGGAGAGTTCTGGAAATACAGACACCCTGGAAGTGATCCAGAGGAGCACAAGGAGATGACCTCAAAGAGGAAATCGGGATGAACTTTTAAAATCTCAAATCTCAAGACTTTGCTCTGTAATATGAGGATGAGTGGATTCTCCTGTCTTTGTTATGATTACTGTCAGGCTGCTGCCACGTGAAGATCAGAGAGCTGCAGGCAAAACCGCTGGATGTACTTTAGATGAATAAAAAGATGGACAGAATGTTCATGTGAAGAATAAAAATGCTCCCGGTGTAAGGACAGACTCACAGTTACAAAAAAGATGCGTGAATGCTCTGGATGACCTTTGGCTTTTGTAAAACTGTATCCTCAAACAGCTCTTGGACACATGGAAAAAAATCCCTCGTTCATTATTTCCAAGCTGTTTTGTAGATTTAAAATTGGAAGAAATTGAGATAATAATCCCTGGAAGCTTAAATCACAATACTTGTGGAAAAAAAGGATCTTATTTGTGTTGATATCTGACTGAGTTATGACTCTGAGAAGGATACGTTATATCTAATGCGGAGCCGCTGCTGCAGCTGCATCTGCTGGCTGTGTAGACCAAAACAGCCCATAACTTCCTCTTTCTTTCACTTTAGCTGTTTTTGCCTCAGGTGTCTCAACATACAGAGAGACACAGAGCAGCAGGAAATTATGGCTCAATTTTCTGTTTAATTGATTGTGACTGTCTCATTTTTGTTAAGGCGGTTCATGACTGATGGTAATTAAACGCTAATAACATTGCTCAAACTATTTCTGCCATTATAATTTTCAAACAGCCGCAATACAAGTTCACAAACTAGAAAACAAAACTTACTGTTGACTTGCTTCTGTACCTTTAAAAGGAGACTCAAGGACGGGTGCAGGTTTGAGGGCGAGGAACAGCTTTTTAGCATACTTGCTTAGGGCTCCACTCTTCTCGGTGGGCACGATGAGTTGGCGAATGAAGCGTGCCCGGTCGCGGATGTCGTAGTTCTGGTCGTATTTGGCCAAGTTGAGAACATACTGCGTCAGCAGTTTAGTCTGAGGGGTGAAGGGACACGAAAGGAAGGTGGAAGAACAGTAAAACAACACCTTATCTACTGCGTTACGTGCATGTGCAGTGTGGGAGTGTATGTAGCTGTGGATTTGTTTGAGAGGGTCTAAGAGGATAGGACTACTGCATTAGTCTTGAGCCACCTCTCGTGTCGTAATATTTTATTAGAACATAAAAAAAAGATGTGACTCACTGAAATGTGCAAACATACATGGGAATACTGTATAAGGCAAAAACAAGAAGCTCGAAAGTCAGTATTTGGTATCACTATTCAAGAACAGTTCTCCTTGTTTCTTGAAGGACATTCAAAGCCCTTCTATGGATGTTGGCTGACCTTTGGTGCAGTTTTCTGTCACGATGCGCTCACACTGCTTCAGAAGTGCTGAGGCCCAAGCTCTAGGAAGGCCAATCCATAATTGACAATTACGAGGACACACCTGTGTGTTTTCTTATCCAGGTATGATTTTACTGTACAGGAAATGTGTTTGGTGTCCTGCTAAAAAGGACCTAAGCCATTGCAGGTCAGACAATCAGATGGTACTGCATGGTGGATCAAAGTTGACAGTCTTTTTCTGTATTCGTAATTCCATCAGTTTTAAGAAGATCTCCATCACCACTGGCTGAAATGCAGCCCCATACCATGACAGAGCCTCCATGATGTTTTACAGGTACTTGAAAGCAGTCAGAAACGAGCGCTGGACTGAAAATAAGTGGAAAAGAAATACCTCCAGAAAGCTGGAGAACTTTTGCTGAAGACCACTTCAAAAAACGACTCTTTAGAAACAGGAATTAGGTGTTCTCAAATGACTCAAGTCTGTTTGTTAAATGAATGAACACATTTTAAACACAGACAGACTTCCTGGTATGAAACTTTCACAAAGAAAAACCAAAGGCATGTAAATAACTGGATGCACTGACATGTTTCTGGTTTCATGGATTCCTGTAAGACCTCATCACGTTAAAAGAAAAAAACATAATTGGTGATAGGAGATTGGTGAAGGTTTGCAACTAGTCTGCAACTAATTTATAAGAAGACAGAGTCCCTGATTGAAAGCTTACTCAAATGATAAAGCTAAACTTGGTCTGCATTGCAGAAAAAATATAAGAGCACTTTTAATGAAGATATGCAGCGTAATGACTGTGTGAGAGCGTCACTGGCTTTATTTCTAGACTGCAAATTTACACAGTGCATAAGTGTAGGTGGCAACAATGTCCCAGGTGAGACTGGAGAAGGCAGGAAGAAGAGTGTGTGTGGACGCCACAGAGGTGTGTTTAGTGCGTTCTGTCACCTGACAGCAGCCTTGTTCACACAAACTAAATGAAAGCCAACATCATGCTCAGTCATTTATGCACAATACTGCAAGATCATTTTTAAAAACAACACGTTGGATATTGAATATAATCTCAAATGTTTCTTTTTTTGTGATGGTGATGATTTGAATCAGCAGACCTTGTTGATGTGTATTCACACTTATTATCAGGGAGAGGCAGCCAGACTATCACCATCCTGAATCCTCCCAGCTGCACCCTGCTGCTGTAAGCAATGAGCCTAATTTAATTAAAGATTAGATTTTGCCTTTACAACAGTGTCTTTGCTCACTAGCACAAATATCACTGCTGACTTGAATTTTCAAGACAAAGGGGATATTTGAGTAATTTATTCTGTGAAGTGAAATTAAATGTGTGAGTTGAAATGTTTTTATTCTGGATTAAATTCCTCTTCCTCTAAAATGTTCATACAAATGGGTCAGACTTTCCTTTCAGGTGTACCTTCTGCCACAAGTTTGTTTCTAATAAATTCAAACTTTTGGGGTTGAAACTGGTGTATTTATAACACCAAAACAAAACAACAGTCACCTTAAGGTGCTTTTATTGTAAGGTAAAGAATCTACAATAAGAGAGAAGACCCCAACAATCAGACGACCCCCTATCAGCAAGCACTTGGTGAAAGTGAGAAGGAAAAACTCCCTTTTAACAGGGAGAAACCTGCAGAAGAACCAGGCTCATGGCAGGGCAGCCATTTGTTGTGTTGTTGTGACCAATTTGTGGGTGAGGGAAGGGAGACAACAAAAGGACAGCCATAAATACTAGTGACAGAAAAACATGCCATTCCCACCTGTTTGGAGTTGGTCAGATATAGCTTGGCTGCCAAATTGATGATCTGAAGCTTCACAATGTCCTCTTCATTAGTGAATGACTTGGCCATCTTCCTTAGAACATCTGGGGCGATCTTAGGTACATGCTCACAGTATTCTCCAATCAGCCACAGGATACTTGCCCGTGCCATTGGCACCTGAGAACACAGGTTGATAGCAAACTAACACTGCTACTACAGAGGGATATGACTGGCAGAAACAGGTTTACCGTCAATGTAAACGGTGGTTCAAGAGCCCGAGTCAATTAGTGAACACTTAGTTGACACCTGGTTTATAATAATAGATACTGAATGAGGCATTGAGGTAAGCTACCATCTGCAGGTCATGAAAGAGACTCTTACCTGAATGTTGTCGGTCAGTTTCGCCATGTGCTTTATGATGTCGCTGTGCTTCTCTGGCTGCATCTGCAGCAGCTTCTTGATAACAACCACTGACTCGGCAACCACCAACTCTGCACAAAAGAAAGAAGAGTCACTCGTTGAAATCAGAAATGAACAATAAATACATACTTTTAAACATCACTACTGCTCCGAGTCAATGTGTGGAAAGTATTCAGCATTCATTTACCAGTTCATTCACACTAGAAATTCACACTGTTCACTTCATTCTGTATATTTGTTCAACTGTCATGACATTAAGACATGACCAAGACAACCTGCTGAAGTTAAAAACGAGCAATGCAGTGAGGAAGAAAGGTGATTTAAATGATTTTGAACGTGGTATGGGTCTTGATGCCAGACGTGCTGGTTTGAGTATCAGAAAGTGCTGATCCGCTGGGATTTTCCTGCATAACCAGTAACCTATAACCAAGTTACGCTGAATGCATAACACAGATGGGCTACAGCAGCTTCAGACCACAGCAGGTGACTGTACTGACACCCAAGAACAAGAAACTGAAGCTGTAATTCACACGGGATAAAACTGGACAATAGAAGGGTGGAAAAATGTTGCCTGGGCCGATGACTCTCCATTAATGAAACAACATTCAACAACAATCAGAGCATGAAAAATAACATGAAAGCACAGATTCAACCTGCCTTGTATCAACAGTTCAGGATCCTGGTGGTAAAATGGTGTTGGGGGATATTTTCTCGACACATTTTAATCCCCTTAGTATCAACTGAGCACCATTTAAATGCCACATCCTACCTGATTATTGTTGCTGGCCATGTCTACCACTTTCATGACCACAGTGTACCCATCTCCTGATGGCTGCTTCCAGCAGGATAACATGCCATCACACACATCAAACAATCTCAAACTCATATCTAGAACATGAGAACGAGTTCACCGTACTCCACAGTCATCAGGTCTCGATCTATTTGATTAGATTTTTTGGAATGTATTTTTCTCTTTTTACTTTTAAGTCTTGTTTTTGATGTTATTTTGCCATCTGTTCATACAATATGTACAGTTTAAAGAGTGTCTTATACTAACAAATAAAAAGACTCACCATCTCGGTTGGAGAGCAGCTGCACAAGACCGTTCAGACATGTGTCCCTCACCTCGCTGATGTTGGTAGCACAGCGACCAATGGCTTGGATTGTTGCAGCCACAAAGTCTTTATCCATGCTTTTAATATATGTCTGCCAGAAAAAAGCAGCCACTCTGCATATTAATTCATACAGGAAGACAAAGTTGGTTGCTGACTGACTGCTCTTCCTAAAACATGACTTATATTTTTTAATTGTACCTGAAATTCTCTGAGGATGGTGGAAATGTTGGTCTCGTTGGCCAGATTGGTTAGAACCTCCAGCTGCAAATAACAATAATAAGAATCCATCATGTTCTCATATCTCCACAAACTGCTAAAAACTTCTGACCATCTTCAAAAAAAGAGAACAGAAAGCAACCTTTAGGACTTTGATCTGAGTTGGATCTGTTGAGCGGATGTAGAAACTCTTCAGATATGGTTCAAACATCCCCTGTGACACACAAAGACAGGAAGAACCTCCGTGAAGCTTCGTTAGAATAAAAATACCATTTAAACACATAAATATAAAACAGAAGAAAACAGAAACACCAGCTTTAGCTCACCCGTCTCTTAATGGACATTGTTGCCACGTTCTGAAGAACAACATACTGGACTTCACTAAAAGAAGAAGACACAGAGTAAGTAGCGATCGAGGATTATTATCCTGATAATTGGTAATTATTTTGCTGTCAGAAGAAAACAAAATTTTTGTCTGAGACAGGCTAAGAAGCGAGGGACAAGGAGGAGCTTTCAGGAGGTCTCTAAAAAAATGACAATATGCAATCCTGATTCTTTCTTATCATCATTTCAACATCCTCATGACTTTTCTGTCACTGATCATGACTGAAATCACACCATCACAGACGCAGGACGCATGCATCAAGTGCATCGGCCATTAAATTGTTCCCCTGTTGTTATTTAACCCACTTTAGTGCCTTATTTGGGACCTCTCTCCATCAATACATGGCACTTTAAACAAATGAATTGTATTCTTTACCTGCATCTCTCAGCTTTTAAGTGATTGATAGAGTTTTTAGATTTTACATGGACCTGCTCTGACTTGTTCTTCTTCCCTTGGTATGTCATTACAAAAAACAAAAACCAACAAAACTCTTCTGCAGCTGTATCAAGGAAATCATTAGTATTAAGAGAAGTATTAAATTTCACCACGATTCATAAAGATGTTATTCTCACTTATAATTGAAACTGCTTGCAGTGCTTAGCCGCCATAGTGCTAACAGCTGAATTTCTAGCTTTAAGGCAGAACAAGTGGCATCTCTACGAGTTGTGTTTTCTGTTTATTTTAACTTTTTATTTGTCCGATCTGTCAGAAAGAACATATTGTTATTGCTAGTAACAGCTTCAACATCTGGATTTCAAAATTAAAAATGTTGAGGGTAATGTGACCTAGCTTACTTTTTCAAGCAATAATTCTTAATCTTATGCAAAAACTAAAAGAATTCCAAGAGACGTTTCACAATTGGCCTCTACTTGAAACTTCTGGCACGTTTGTAGCTACCCCTGTACGCCACAAAACGTAGCAAGTACAAATGTTTTAAAAACATTCCTGTTAAACATCAGCGCATTATTATTTAAGGCAGTAAATCCATGTGGTTATTATGCGAGCACGGACGCCACAGAGTCAATAGCAATAAGTCTAATGAAAGATAAGGTATGGTACAATGAATTTTGGATGACTCTCCCACAGAGAGAGATGCTGGTGTTTGGTCGCTGCTGATTGATGATCCCATTACAACACACCCTGAGCCACAGGACCACTTGTGCAATAAAAAGCTGACAGTGTGCAGGACTTACAGGCAACAGGCCACCGATGTGCGATCATCACTCCTCATGGTTTATGAGTTCATGCTTACTTCAGCTTCACTGGGCTCCCTGTTTAATTTTACTTTCTGCTTCTAGGCATTAGCGATCCATTTTATTACGCTCACTTGTTATTTTGTTGTCATACTGTTTTCCACTTTGCTGAGTTTTGTGGTTGTTAAATCTTTTTCCCCTCCCATTTAGCTGTGTATTTTTTCGACATTTCAACTTGTTTCCTGTTACTTTCTCCAGAGGGGAGGGTGTTTTAATTTTGGAAAATGGCGATACAGTGATTTGAAAGCAATTTATTTTGAAATTATAGACTGTAAAGCTCACCTGTGGCTCCTCAGGAGACGGACCAGGGCCTTGGCAATCACACCAACCTCCGCTTTAGGGGCCAGATGGAAATACAGCTGAGCCACAGCCATCACCACCTGGATTGTGTAAAGAATGAGAAAACAGAAACTTTTAAGTCTCACACAGTGACATAACCTCCCAATGTAAAAAAAAGCAAGAGGTGTAATGGTGAGTGTTGGGCCATTAATGAGTTTTGTTCTCTATTGAAAATTCATTCATTTTCAGCAGTTAATTACCAAGGCATCACTACCTTATGCTTATGTTGCACTGGAGATGACGAATGTGTTTGGATTTATTCTGCTCATGTGTTAAATATACATGAACAAACTAAAGCAAATACAGATTTGCTCTCTATTTACTGCTCTAGCAGTAAAAAGTTCATTCAAGAGGCAGGAGTTTTAAGATGCTCAATATGCATTGGAAACAGTTCTTACAAAGCAGAATTAATTGTGTAGATCCAATGCAGCATGTTAAAAAAACCAAAAGCGCATATGCACTGGAATGCTGACTGGTTGAAAAGTGGGCCTGAATAGGAAATGGAGCAATATTGGAGTTCCCCATGAAGACGACAAAGTACAAAAAAGCTCAAAAAGCAGCATGAGAAGCACCAAGAGCAGTGGACAGCTTTAATTGTTTCACTTTATGACAATGTTTCCTATGTTTTCACTCCTGTATGGTGACCCTGAGAGTTCAAATGCACGGAAACTTAAGAAAACACCAGCAAATAGAAAAATGCTGCGAAACCACAGAAAACACAACCAAAACTGAATAACAAACATTGGCTGTAGAAAAAACACAAAAACTCACAAAACACAAGAGAGGTTTTTGAATGTTTGTTATTACCCGTTTACTGTTAGCCTGTCACTTTCACAGCTGTTCCCAAAAAGCACTCCTTATATGTTTTGTGAGGTTTTTTTGTGACATTTTGGGGCATTTGTTCTGTTTACATTGAGTTTTATTCTAATTGTGTCGCAGACATCATCATTTATTCCACATATTTTTAACAATGAGTCCTGTTGACTCGACAACATGTAGACAATGGCTGGATCACACAGGACCAACGCACAACCACGCTAGTCTTTTGAGAGACAATAATGTTTGAGGCGTTCATAGGTGTGGTTGATTTCATGTGTAATTCACAAAACTTGCTCTGTTTTTAGTTTGTTTCATATCAAGCTCAAATGTTAATAGATTCTATAGTTCGGCATTAAATATCAGCTGTAAATTGCATGTCACAAACATTACTTTGCGGACCTGATTCTCCTCCTTATATTTCGTGGTTTGAGTTCTCACCTCTGCTGATAATCCTTTTTTTTTACACCCAAACCCAGTTCGCATTGGTGCAATGCGTTAGTAAATCTGGCCCTAAACCCTTTACAGGATGCTTCCTCATCAGTCAGTCACTTCAGCCACCTCTAAACAAGAACTCTGAACAATGTTGGGAGAATCAGGTCAGAGTATTGTCCTTGTCCTTTCTTATATGTAGCACACAGCAGAAGACAACTGGAAATGTTCTATTTGTTTCAAGAAAGGCAGCCGCATCGGTAGACACCTGAATCTCAGTTGATATTCATGAAAGGAGTTTGAATTGACACAGACCATTTCTGATTGTTTACTGGTAAATTTATGGGCTGTAAAGAGATGCAGAGCTGAAAAAAATGATAGTCTGTAGGTTTGTCACCATGAGACTAAGCTTCAATGCTGGAAACTTTAAAGTAAAAAAGACCAGGTTGTTGGTCTGCATCAAAGTCAGAGCAGTCAGACTGGAACCAATGACACTTATTCATACCTTCATCACCTCTAGACTGGACTACTGTAATTCTCTCTATTTGGGTCTTCAACACTCGTCTCTCCATCGCTTGCAGTTAGTCCGCTTGCTGCTGCGCGTCTTTTAACAGGTGTTAGAATGTATGAACACATCACTCCAGTTTTAGCAAATTTACACTGACTCCCTGTAAAATATTGTATTAATTTTAAGATTCTTTTACATACTTTTAAATAATATGGCGCCTAGTTATTTAAATGAATTCCTCAACATGTATGACCCCAAAGGAGCACTGAGATCATCTAGTCAGATGCTTTTAGCACAACCAAGGTCTCGATTGAAACATAGAGGAGATCGGGCCTTCGCAGTAGCAGCACCCAGACTCTGCAATAATCTGCCGGAGGAGTCTCGTACTTCAGAGTCTATTCAGTCTTTTAAATCGCATCTTAAAACTCACTTTTTTACTTTGGCTTTTAATTCAAGTTCAGTATGAGTACCATCAGGCCTGTTTTATGTTTTTATTGTTAATTCACTGCCTTCTTATTTATCTATATTTGTTTCTCTATTTTTTTTCTTGTTTTTAACCAATTGTGAAGCACTTTGGTCAACTCTGTTGTTTTTGAATGTGCTATACAAAGACATTTTGAATTGAACAGAATTTGAATTGACTGTAGAAAACTTTATATACAGTCATTGGTTGGAACTCATACCTGCAAAAATGCAACTGTATGAAGTCATCACTGGAAAAGGAAACTATTTGGTTTTCCATTTCATTGGTTTGATGCAAAGCAGGTAACCACATAAAGAGCAATTACAGCTCCATGATTGACTTTTCCACTTCATGCAAGATAAGCGAACACTTGTTGGCTCAGGAATGGGAAAAGTGTTTCATATTTTATTTCACCACAAGAAACCAGCTCGCCTGCAGCAATACAAAGGTTGGATAATGTGTGTGACGGCAGAATTTCACAATATCTAACATGGGTCAAAACAGGCTACTCAAGGTGACCACAGCAGCACTAATGCATTGTGATGCTTTATTAATTTCCTTGGGGAAATTGCCCTCATTTTTGAGCAAGAGGTCAGCTCAGATTAAATGCTGTACACAAGGACACTTACCATTAAAATGCTTAAGTGTCAGAGGCTTTGTAAGTTGAATGAAGACCTCATCTACTCATTAAGAAATGATTTTAGAGGGCACAGCCACTTTCCATGGTAGTGAGTCAATAGACTGAGTTTTACTGCAGGAATGTGTGTGTATAATTCAAAAGAGCAGAGGTCTCACAGCTGCGTTGCGGCTCTGCAGGAGCGGTTTGGTATTCCTTAGTAGCAGTCGGTGGTCTGGATCCATCACATATGGCTTCCTCTTAGCCATGGCAGCAGCCTCGGCCTTCTTCTCCTTCTCCTCTTCGTCTTCATCCTCATCTTCATCTGAGCCGTAGAAGGTCTTATCGCCGCTGCCTCCCTCCTCCAGCAGGGACTCCTGCAGAGAAAGTGATTCTTGAGGAGTGCTTTCAAGTTATAATAAAATTTTCACTGCAAGATGCAAGTAGATGTATACTTAAGAGTTCTGCTGTCTCATCCTTCCCAATTCAAGTGTTTAATCCTAACTTCTATGGCCACTGTAGGACTAATGTGTCAGTTAAGAGAGATAAAAAGCATTAAATTTACACCCCTTAATGGCTGTGGCCAGCCGGCATGATCTGATATTGTTTGGATCACATCTTCATCTGCCCCAGAGTTTTCGTGTATCTCTAGAAGGCTGTCAGCCCACGCTTTACCTTAGCTGTCAATGCTGTGTGAGAGGTGTCTGCATCTATTTAATCTGGAAAAGGCTATATAACTTTGTGAAAGGAGTTTAAGGTCAATAAGTCAGAGAAGCTCCCGTCTGACCGATGACAGTGATACTGGGTTGAATTGTTAAGGATACTTGAACTTTTCTGTGTGAAAGACTGCTGTTTTTGCTACTGTTAACCTGTTAGCCTCTGTTAGATACTGTTAGCTGCTGTTAGCCGGTGTTAGTAAAACTGTTGTTGTAGTGGACGCAATTTTTTGGGACCCTAATGCTTAGGGAATAAACTCATACAATGTGAGAATGTAATCAAACTGTTTATCAGATGTATATTGAGCTTCAAATGTATCAGTCTGATTTTTATGATACTCAAGCTTATCATTAGCTACCATTATGTTAGCTTAAAACTAGCTGCTGTTGCTCTTTAGCTGGCTCTTTTCGTCTGTTGACTGCTTATACTTGAGCCCTCAGTTCATCATCTGTATGCTTTTAGCTCCTCCTCTCTTTATCCTCCATTTAAGCCAACTTTCTGCTGATTGGCTGCCCCTTGCAAAAACATGGTTTGCTCTCATCGATATCACAACGAGGCAAGAGCAGAGAATGTGTCTGAAACTGAGCTCAAAGAGCAGTCTGGGGTTTTGGCTCACATGGATTACTTGGACCTTACATGAAACTTCAGCCATGTTTAACCTTCGAGCGACCAAATGTCTTCTTGTTAGAATGGTTTCATTAAATACTTTTATTTTTATATCTTCTTCTTAAGTGAGTTTGTACTGAACCTACGCTGTTTCCTTTATATATGAGACATATTTCAAGATATTCTAATGGCACCCAATTTGGTTTTTAATGTTTTTTATGTTAGGACTTAGAAAATGTAAATGATATAAGACAAATTATATTATTTAGACATACCTTGCATGTTATCTCTTGCAAAACAAACCATCATTTCAATAACACTTTAAATCTTGAGTTCCGTTTGAGTGAATTATATATGCAATATGCAAATATACAGTAGAAAAACTACACTGATCAACAACAAGTCATGGTCGGGGTGTTTTTTTCCCTACTTTATTGTCTCCATTTAAACCTACATCTAAACAATTCAATGCCAATATAAATTTTATAGCTGCAGATATAATTATACAGCTGGTTTGGTAGTTCACGATCTCATCGCTGCACTTTGCAGATGATGTGGTCCTTCTGGCCTCATGAAGAACTGATCTCAGTTCAATTTATTTATATAATGTCTATTGCCGCACGGTGCTTTATATTATAAGGTTTTAATAGAGAGCAACCCCCACAAGATAATTCTTCACGAGCAAGCAGCTGGCAACAACTCCCTTTAACAATAAGAAACCTCTGCCAGACCCAAACTCAGGGAGGGGCAGCCACCAGGTTTGTGTGACATACATATCAGTCTTGTTCACAAGTCGGGAACAAAGATTAGCAATAGAGTGTGGAGCTCTAGTCTCTATCATTCAGGAGACTAGAGGACTCAGACTAGAGGGACTAGTCCTCCACACTGAAAGGAGCCAGTTGAGGTGTTTTGGACATATCCTACTGTGAGGAGGCCCACGATATGCTGGACAGATTATATCTCTTGGCTTTGGCTTTAGTAATGTTTCAGTGTCCTCTCAGAAGACCTAGTCACTTTTGACAAAAATAAGTCAACAGGTGTGTTTATAAAAACTGATAAATATACTGAAATCAGGTGGCAGTGAGAGAGGAAAATAAATGACAGGATGATTGTACCACTGCACAGTCACAGTAGTAGCTAATGTACCTATATCCCTCGGGATGAATAAAGTATTCTGATTCTGATTCTGATATACACCTCTGCTGCACCGTAGTCACCCAATATGTGATTCATATGCAAATTAGAAAGTAGTGACAAAACATAATGGCTAAACTTATTTCTAGGGTGGTAAGTTTGCGTGGAGCGTTGCAACAGGCAGTGATGAAGCCGGCGATATTTTGTTTATATTATGTACTAAAATTCATCGATACAAGTAGAGTCTGCATGTTAGGTGTTACTGCTCCTCAGTATAAATTCACGTTTCTGTAACACACAAATTAGTAATGAAAGTATTCGATGAGACTCTAACCTATGAATCTCTTATTTTACCTGTTCAAGTGTGAACATCTGCTGCTTCTCTGTTTCTTACTTCACTCTCAGTTAAATAAAAACTGAAGACTGTCAGACTGAGGAATTGGTTAACCCAAGTGCAAGCAGAAAACTTGATGTATTTACAGAGAGTGAAAAAAGGCCACAAAAGGCTGTACAACAATGAAAAGAAAATGAACATCTCAAAATGGTCAATAAGATTAAATCCCTTAAACTGAGAGCGTCAACGACAGAACGCATGGCAATCTGACAAAGACAGACTAAACATACACTAAGAGGAAAGGATAATAAGGATTAGATGAATCAGACTTTTTAAATTCTCGACCGTGATCTCATGAACTCTTCCACTGAAGTCAAGTCAACGTGATTAGGAAAAGGAGGTAGAAGATTGGAAAGAGCAAAGTTGGAAATTGGAAATATTTTGGACTGCTCTTCAGTTACTCACCTGCACCTACAGAATAAATTTGCACAAGGAAGCGAGCTTAGGTTAGGTAAGGAACACTTGAACCAAGTAGGGTGGGAACAGATCGAAGGCGGGAAGTCACAACATAGAAAACCACATTCAAAAAGTGAAAGACGGACAAGGAAAAAACTCACATAGAACCGAGAATAACCAAGGATAATAAGAACAGTTTCACATTAGTCTATATGTTACTCATCAAAAATGTAACAGCTGTTGGCCTGCTTGCTTTCTCGTGCTGTGTGTTGCTTACTTACATTGATGTTTGGGTTGAGAAACTGCGTTCTGGCGTAGCGGGTTAGCATGTTGATGATGACGACCTGCCCCCACTCCTCAACATCAATCAAGAGATTACACAGCTTCCTGTAGTTCTTGTGGATTAGATCAATGCGCTCCGGACACACCTCTTCAAAAGCCATCACAACGCTTCCTGCCACCAGCTGCAGTGCATTTCAGACCACACACATTAAGATAAAGTTCATGAATCTTCCTTTAGGAGGTTACAAGTTAGCCCTGTGGATTTTAACAATATCCATGCATTGTACAATTAAATCTTCAACGGTACAAAAAACCTGTAACTACTGACTGACTTCTGCAGTCTGTTTCTGGTTTTGTTGCATTTCCCAGAGAAAGAGCTAATGCAAAAACTGCAAGGTGAAAAAGGAGACTGGTTAAACAAATGATAAGCCTTGAAACAACCGGGGCATTAAACGCAATCTGGTGCTGTGCACAGCAGCTGGTCCCTGATATTTTGTGCACTGTGTGGTTTGCAAAATTGTATTTATCTTTGCTGGAAATAAAATCTGGAGAAAACACTGAATCAACAAAGAGAAGAGAGGAAAAACACACCGTGGTTTTGTCAGCGAGGAGTTTCTCTATGACTTCAATCAGCTGGTCTTTTTGTTCAGGATCCAAACTGAGAGGAGAGAAGAATAAATCAGTAAAAATGCATGAAAAATTGTTCCAGGAACTGTAAGTAATCATCCTCAAGGGTATAAAGAAAATGGATTTTACTGCTAGAGCAGCAATGGGTTCTCAGGAGTCTATTTTTTACTGCTAAAGTTTTACAGTTGCAGCAAGTCATATGAACATTTGATCTAGCAGGCCTAGTAGTTCTCAGACTGGGAATCAAGGCTCCCACAAAGAAAAAACAACAAAGAATTCATAAAAACTGTGTTTTTCTCTATCAAATTTATATATTTCCTACTGTGTTAAAGTTTGTAAAAAAGAGAAATGGTCATATGAAAAATAAAGTTTCAATAGGACTGTACGCAGTCCTGTAAAAAAAACTAAGCACACTCTTACTGCTTCCACTGGAATTAAGAGGGTAAGTAGCAGACAGGTGCGGCTAATCAAATGCACTTGATGAATTATGACCACCTCCATAAAAGCAGACAAGTTGTTAGTTTGCTGGTCTGGAGAATTCAGATGTATGTTAACACAATATTAAAATCCACCCCAGAAAATTTGTTCTCTTTTGTATGAATGTCTGTTTGGGCTCCTAAAAAACAAGATGCTACATCTCAAAGGGTTTATCCTGATACAATAAAGCCGTGCAATGCTCAGAGAAGTTGCTAAAATCCCAAGACTACACCGGAACTGTTAGGCATGCTGGTGAAGAGGTGATGATTTGGGTTTGTTTTGCAGCCACCAGACTTGCAGCACTTTCCAGTTGACCATTTACTTCTCTGTATATATTCTCTGTATTTTATAGTCAGTTATGAGGCCATCTGACTAACAGCAAACTCTTGTCCCAAATTGGACTATGAACTTGGAAAATGAGCCCAAATACACCAGAAAATCAGAATGAGTGACAAAGATAAGAATCAAGGTGTTGCAATGACCCAGTAAAGTCCAGATCTCAACCCAGTTCAAATTTAGTGGTGAGATCTTAGGAGAGCTGTGGATAAATAACCAAAACTTTATAATGACTGTGAGAAAAAAATATGATCATTAGTCGTTATAATAACTGATACACTAAGAGCTAGCAACTCAATAAATCATGCTAACTTTGTTTTATAAACCTAAAACTGTCCTTTTGGGTTCGTACCTGTATAGTTTAGGGATTGCATGTGCTGCGGTCTTCCTGACATACGGAGACATATCCGAAGCAGCTTCTTTGATGGCCAACATCATTATTGGAACGATGATTGTTACTCTTATGCTGGAGAGGACTCGCAGGGCGCTGGCTCTGATCAGCTGGTTCGGATCCTGGAGAAGTACAAAGTGGTGGAAAAATACACTTTTAGAGGTGGTGAAATGTTGCATTTTGTTCATCGCAAAATAGTAATAAAATCTAAAGGAGCAATCTGTAGTTATGCTAAGTAGTTCCTGCCACAGTTTTATGCTAATCAGCAGAACGATACAATAAAAGAATAATATGTGTTAGGGAAAATATTCTAAAACACTTCTTCAGTAAAGACTCAGAGAAGAGAAACACACAGAACTTCTTGCTAGCAAGGGCAGCCTCCAGACTGAGACTCGCCCTGAGCTTTGCCCTGGTCTTTATTTATACTTCAGTGTGTGTGTGTGTGTGAGTGAGTGTGTGTGTGTTGTGCGATCTTGTGTGTGTCTGTGTGTGTGTGTGTGTGTTCTGCTGATCAAAGGGTCATATAACATGAAAGCACAAAAGGTACATCCTTGGTCACAAAGAGGGTAGTCTCCCCCACCCTAGATGGTTCACCCTAGATAACACGGTGAGGAAGTCCAGCAGTTCATCTAAACAAAAAGCACTTAGACTAGAACAGACGTAGCTACGTTAATCCTACCATAAAACAATAAAACAAGGTACGACCTCTCCATGCTCCTAGGATGTAGGTGTGCATTCCAGTGTGGAATACACACCAAGCCTTTGCAGCCTGCTAAAGATCACAGTCCTATCACTACACAATTGATTATATGCCCTCTAAGTATATATGGTTGAATATTTCCTAATACAAATAACTACATGTAGTATTCTACCATATGCAAACTTATATCACTAAAAGATTATACTGACTACTAAATACAATTTTCCATTGACATAAAGGTCAGTCAGTAATGAAATACAACACTGTTAAGTAAAGTAGCTTACCACTTTTAGGAAATTAGCACTAAAACACAGCACTGCCATCGCTGGTTCTAATATAAAATGTTTTTTAAATTTTATTTATTTGGTCGTGATTTCAGGCCAATTTATCCAGTAATTCCAAATCATCCATCCATTCACTTCCGCTTATCCTTTTCAGGGTCGCGGGGGGCGCTGGAGCCTATCCCAGCTGTCATAGGGCGAGAGGCGGGGTACACCCTGGACAGGTCGCCAGTCTGTCGCAAGGCTAACACACAGGGACAAACAACCTCCGGAGTACCCGGAGGGAACCCACGCAGACACAGGGAGAACATGCAAACTCCACACAGAAAGACCCCGGCCTGATGTTGGAATTGAACTCAGGACCTTCTTGCTGTGCGGCAACAGTGCTAACCACCGTGCCACCGTGCTGCCTAATTCCAGATATTTAAATCAATTCATTTTCATTTCATTATATAGCCGCCAAAATCACTACAACAGTTGCCTCAAGGCTTTATTTGTAAGGTAAAAACCCTACAATAATACAGAAAACAGAAAGCCCCAACAATCATATGACCACTATGAGAAAGCGCATTGGTGACAGTGGGAAGGAAAAACTCCCCTTTAAGAGGAAGAAACTGCACAAAGAATCAGGCTCAGTGAGGGGCGACCATCTGCTGTGGCCAGTTGGGGGTAAGTGGATGAAGACAGCAGAGAGACATGGTGTGAAAGAGAACCAGAGATAAATAATAACTAATAATTAAATTAGTGCTGTCAGCGTTAAACTCGTTAAAATGACGTTAACGCCATAACCGCATTAAATCTCCGTTAGTGAGTTAGCGCGGATCGCCCCATGCATGGGGCTGGATGGCGCTAACGCGCTAACGCGTTAACGAACTAACCGCGCTAACGCGTTAATTTAAGCAATCAATTCAATTTCATTTAAGCTTTTTTTGTCCAAATGTTGTAAACAAGTTAGGCTTTTAGAGCCATTCACTCATAGTTAATGAGGACTATCGTGCAAGCTAGGTGAATTGCAGCTAATTTTTGTATAATATGAAGACGAGGCTTTAGAAAAATGGTTTATATTATCTCAAATCTAAAAAATTGTCACATATATAAACTGCTGTACCTTCAGACCTCGCTGAAACGTGGAAATTGAAAGCAGAGCAAGATCCTGCTGCTCCTCAGCGTAACGCACCAAGTAAACATAGACCAGCTTCTTCACCTGGAAAGACGAACAGTAAGAGGGAAAGAAGAAACAAATGTAATCGTTTAAATTTTAACAATTTCATCCAACCTATGTGTATTAGCTTAATTATTTTCACTGAGATGAGTCCAGTAAGGCACAGTTATTAAAACATGCAAAAGTGGAGAAGGAAATTGCAATTTTGTTTATATGAGATAAAACTGCACTCCACGGAGGTTTGGAAAATGTGATAAGATAATAGGAAGGAAAATGAAGAGTGCAGAGCCTGTAGCACATGAAGCAACATGAGACTAGGTTCATTACCAACCTCTATGTTTTTACAAGCCACGTTTTTCACCACAGCGGGGAAGAGATCTGATGCATTTTTACCTCGGGCAATCATCTGCAGAGAAAAGACGCATCCAAAAAGCATAACAAAGATTTCACAAGATGGCATTTTTCAAGCATTTCAATTGTTGGCAAGAAAAAATACATTTTTTATGTTTTATTTTATCTTTTGATGCTTTTTTTTGTGCTCTTGGCCCGGCAGGAATGATGAATGAAAAGATGGGTGTGGAGCCTCAGAAGTAGAAATCTGACAGAGTATGAATATTTAACAGCTGACTGCACAGTTTGCATCTCTTATCACAGTAGTTAAATCATTGGAGGCAGCCTTTGTCTTATGGCTCAGAGCACAGTTTTATAAAATGACTGCATTTTGACAATAATACCATGAGATTAATCGCCAGTTTTGGTATAGAGAGCATGCTTCTGGCCTTTTCTTAGTCTCAGAATAAGTAAAACATGATGCATTGTATGTTTTGCATTTAAAGGTTTGACCTTGTGCACCTGTGTACCCGCTGATCAGTGAAATCTCAAGGGGGGGGGGAATCTGCCCCTTTCTGCAATGTTAATGTTCCAGCTAGCCACTTACTTTAGTTAAAAAATAAAATAAAGATTTCCAGGTTTTTATGTGAATCTACACCCACTGGCCACTTCATTAGGCCAATGACTTAACTGTTCATCAGCTCGTTACAGCATCAGTGACATCATCAGACAAGATCAGTTAAATAATAACTAAAGTAATTTTTTAAAAATTATGGTCATTATTAGAGACAGAAAGGAGGATTATGGGTATGCTCACTGGCTAATCAGATGTCAGCTGTGTGCCTTGGTTTCACAGTTAACACTACCTGTTGCTAATCATCAAGATGGAGACTGCAAAGACACTCAGCTCAGCTCAAGGCTTCAAAATTGAAGTAATGACAGACATGGTGGCTATGAGGATCTTTTGTTTATCGTCCACAGTAAACGTGACTTTCTCTTATTTTTGTATATATTTCTTTTGTTTTGTATATATCCCTGTTGACTGTACGTTTTTCTCCTGTTTGCTATTTATTCCTGTTGTCTACTATTTATATTGTATTGCGGCAAAGTTGGTGTGGAGCACCCACAATTTCATTGTACATATACATTCTATTCTGTTCTCTGTTCTGAAATAGTGTTATACAACAGTATTATCCATGACATTTTTTAAAGCATGATAATAAACTTCATGGCTCACTCTTGATGTGATCCTAATTTCCCCATTGTGTCCATCTGATTTATACTCACAGCTACAATCCGCTTCATTGCTTCCAGCTTCAGGGAGTCTTTGTTGCTGTCCAGCATCTCTTTCAAGTCGTCATGTCTGTGGGAAGAAAACATTATAAAAATATATTTCACAGCATGGAAACCACCAAACACCCAGAATGCAACAAGAAGTACTGATATGTTTTACTTTTAAAGCTCAAAATTGATCAAAGACTACAGCTGTGACCCCAAAATTATTCTCTTTGAAGTAGGAAAGCCTCACAAAATAAAGAAACATTTGAACATAAAATACCTGGATAATTGGAACGTGACATAATCGCTAAAACAAAATGACTTCTTAAACACAGACTGTTGATAAATGGGTAGAAACGAGTGTTAGAAATATTTTGGATGCGGCGAAGTAGAACAATACATAAAATAGAATACATTAGGTCTATCAGTATCATATACAGTTGTTTATTATTTAAATAAACAGTCTAGTGATTTTATTAGCCAAATGATGGGCCAGTGATCTGTGAATCAGCAGCTTGTTTGATAAATGATATTATTTCTTCAGCATTTTCTAATTGCAGATCGTCATATGCAAGGGTTTATCGCTGTTCTTTGGTTTTTGATTTTGATGTTGCAGTTTAAAGAACATATGATTACCACGCTAAATCAACAAAACGATGAGCAAATCAAGTAAAATATTTTGTTATCACTTGCAGAGTTGAAAAGTATTACTAATTCAAAAAAATTATAATTTATCATATTTGTACTTGACCAAAAAATATAAACATAAGATTGTAAAGCAATTGTCTTCTCCAGTTGACTCTATATAAACTTTAATGATGATTCTTGCTATTAAACCACAAGATTTTAAACCATAGCAGAGAATATCTACTAGCTTTTTCCTATTAACTTGTTCTTTGGGTATAAAAGCTTTTGCTGTTTTATTTTATTCAAGCGCAGTTGTACTTTGGCTAATGTTCATTTTCCACTTCAGGTTTTTAGATTACTAAACAGAAACCAAATAAAGATTTGAGGTGTTCGGATTTAGCTTGTAGGACTCAAGCTAAAGCTAGTTTTAGATTTAGTTTTTACTACTTTTATTACTTTTGATATCAGTTTTTTACGGAGGAGGATTAGGGCCACTGGAAAAAAAAAGTGGGCATGTCTTTTTTTTTTCATTTCCAGAATTTTGAGATTAAAGTCAGAATTCTGACTTAAATCTCAGAAATCTGACTCAGAATTCTGACTTTTTCTAAGAATTTTGACTTTCATCTCAGAATTTTGACTTTTTTCTCAGAATTCTGGAAAAGAAGAAAAAATAAATGTGCCCACTTTTTTTCCCAGTGGCCCTAATCCTCTTCCTTAGTTTCTGTCATCTGATACTGTAATATTTACAATTTGTAATGTGTATTATACATTTTATTAACATTTGCTGCATCTAGACATAATACTATTTTTGGCTTTGCAATAAGCTCTGCTAGCATACTTGCCTCTATCACCTGTTGCATCTATTGTACAGTTTGTCCATCGTTGAGTGCCAATGAAATGCTGATACAGCAAACTGAAAACGCATTCTCTAGTTTTTATCCAGGAGCCACATGTGGATGACACGAAATTCCATCTAACTTGGACTTGGCAAAGTATATTTATTGTTTTATTGTATATTATTTTCTAACAGCTGTGCTTTGTATCTGCATACAGACTACTGTATAACAGTGCTTTGTTCTCCAGCTTTGCTCATCCATCATTACTGTCAGAAACAACAGAGCGGTCAGCTCACACAGCAGTCTGAGTAGATCTAAGCCGACATCTCCACCCAGCTGCAAAACAAACACAAATAAACGGCAGTGACAGTTTCTACCAAACCTGCCTGTAGGAGAACCTGCAAACACTGGTTTCAGTAAGACAACACAACAATACAGACAGGAACAACTGCTGCAGCTGTCAAGATAAACACACCAGGCTAATTGAATTCTGAAATACTGATGGATGGCATTTTCATGCAACCTTAGCATTCATTCGGCTGCTTCCCCATAAATAAGATACAAAAAGACTTCACGTATTTTCATTCCACAAATACAGAAATGCATGACAACTTTGAGGAGTTGTCTATATAATACCGTCAATCATAACCACTTTAAATTAACTTGTAAGTCTTATTTTCTTTTAATAGTAACAGTGTACATATATATAAATTTGGCAGTGTTATGTGGGTATTATTCAATTTCTGCCCTTCAGCCAGCTGTTTAATTACCCACAATAACAATATGATTCAATAAAAGCAGCTTCTGAAATGTTTTCACATCTAATTATGGAAACAGTTGCACTCATACAGTAAGTTTCTTTAAATCTGACATTACTTAGCACAAAAGGAAAACTGTAAACTACTCTAAAACCACCAAACAGGACAACTCTCTCAGCAGACAGACCTTTCATTACGAATTAGGGTCTTGTCATTTGTTGGTATGGGAAAAGAAGGGTGGAGTTCAGTTGGTGGTGGGTGGAGTGATTGCTGCACATTTCCCCCAGCGGGTTTCCAAGGCAACAAAGAATGCAATAAAATGAAGTTAAGTGATTTCCCGGTTTCCCGGAGAGCCTTTGTTGCATCTGACAGTATTACCACGTGGGATCATCATCGACTCTAACAACCGAGTCCAGAGTCTCTGAAAATTATTGAGTGACTGCACACTTGTTTTAGAACAGGTGAGAGATGGGAGGCTCAGATGTGGCGAAACTGGGGTTTCCCCTCACACAAACAACCTCGCTGCTGGCATTGAGAGTATTTCTTAAAGCTTCTCTTTTAACGGAAGTATATCTGAAAAATAAAGGGATCTATATTGTATTATAGTGCTGGCCTTCGAATTTGGCTAATACCCCCTAAACTGTGAGACGCAAATGTAAAATATTGTTCTTTATTTATATCACTACAACATGCAGGTTGCAATATACAGCTTCTGCTACCAAAGTTTAAATATGTTATTAGTTGTATGAGCTTTTAAAAGACATCATTACACTTCTATAATTCATGTCAGATCCATTCATCCTTCTCCAGTTCAGACTGGAGGTGGCTGGAGCCTATCCCAGCTGCAATGGGTGGTACACTCTGTAGAGGCTCACCTACATGTGAGACCCTTCAATTTAATAAATTAAATCAACAGATATTCAGTGATTACTACAGTAAGTGCATACATATTACTGATGTGCAGTTATATGTATTCTCCATATCTTATGGCATAACTGGGAAACAACCCCTCGGCTGTACTTTTCCAGCTTTCGGCTAAAGTGCCAACAAAGTTTTCGCTAGAGCTCCTTGTTGCCAGGAACAGTAAACCGCACAATCATAGACTCAGCCCATCCTTGTTGGTGCCTCATTGGCAGATTTGTATAAGGATGTATATGACTGTGTGCTCTGCATTTGAGTTACAAGTCAAAACACATTGGTCAAGCAGTACTGCAAATACTGCTAGAGCTGTAACTTCCTCAGATCTTGTCATCTTTTCCGTAAGTGAAGTTGTGTCCAAAATGCTTTAAATTAAAAAAAATCAAAACATTTTCCTTCAGATTAAAATTAAAGCTATTGAGATATTGGACCCTCGCGGTTTATATAGTCTCTCAGTCATTAGACATTGGGGACCTGTCAAGTGTGCCTCACGCCCTATGACAGCTGGGATAGACTCCAGCTCCACATGATCCTGAGCTCGAGAAGCAGTTAATAAAATGGATGGACTGCGAGATGGAGTTTTATAATTCATAACTTTAAAATTTAGCCTTATGAGGGTGTTGACATTAACCTTCAAGTGATTGAGCCATAAATTTGTACATGTGATATTTTACAAATGTAAACATTTCAGAATATCTGTTAGAGGTAAATGAATCAGACCAGGCATGATGAGAGCCAGGAGAGCCTGAAAGATTCAAAAATCAAAGAATGTATGAGGAAATGATCTTAAAACAATGTTGTGATTAATTCATCATCTTCCTGTGCAGTGTGAATGTATCTCCCAACACTGCATGTTATTTAAATCAGGCTCCAACCAGTGCTACAAATGACTTCCGAAAGAAGATAATCAAACTGCAGGCAGAACTTTTACTTACTCTGCTGTGAGAGTGGGAGGCTGCTGGGGTGCACGATATAATTCATCTGTTTTGGTCATGTGACAGCAGTGAATGGAGGCTTGCAGTCTGTGAGGAGGTGGCTGCTGCAGAACACAGTCGGTTTATCACGACTCTGCCCCGAGTTTAAAGTGTGTGTGCGCAGGCGTTTGTGTGTCTGTGTGCTAAGAAAAGCCTCTGCTTTTTGCTCCGCCAAGCATCAAAGTGTTAATAATTGCACTGCATTGTGAATAATATAGTTCACTCTGTCACACACTTCAAAAACCTGCACTCATCAAAGACTGTCACATTAAGACACCACAGCAAGGATTATTTTTGGATGCAAGTGCAGAACTCTTGCTGTTTTTTTTTTTTATATTTTGGTCAAAACAAACAAGAAAATAAATGAATGGATATTGCAGCCTAATGTTGATTTACAGCAGAAAGGGAAGGAAGTGGCTCATTTCATCCTTTAAAATAATGAAAATGAATCACAGCCTTTGGCTAACACAAGTGATCATTTCTATCAACACAGCCTGAAACCTCAACTTCTACTTACTTTGATGTGGGAAAAACCTTTTTGTCTTTAAAAGTGAAAAACAGATAAAAATATTACAAGGCAAGTCTCAAAATGGTAAATGCACTGGTTCTTTTATAGTTTATTTCTGCTATAACTGAGGACTCAAACTGGCGTATAAAACAAAATGCCAACTCTTTTATTTATGTCTCATTCACCCATTTACAAACACATTGATACAGCAACATTTTCTATACCTAAGTGCTTTCTATCTAACATTTATACTCCAATGAATGCAGTGGGAGCAACTCAGGGTTCAGTATCTTGCTCAACGATACTTAAGTATACTGAAGCAGGCAGGGATCGAACCACTAACCTTCCGGCTAGTCGCTGACCTGCTCTAGCTCCTCAAAAGACATCCAACAGCTATAAAAGCGTCTAATGGCAGAATATGTACCTTATGTACAGTTATCAAGTGCTATCAGAGCACATATCAGGCCACATATGTGGTTTACCATGGCAACAGTCGGGTCATAGTGCAAACAGGTTTGTCGCAATAACTGTGTACTGTCGATAATGGTGTTTTTAAGCAAATAAATCACAAAATGTCTCAACAATGTAAATTTAAAAATACAGTAAGTCAAAGAGTAATTGTTTTTTGTATGCTTTTGTACAGTCATGGCCACAGACTCTTGTCAACTTTGGTAAAAAAATCGAACGCTGACTCTGAATGACAGCATTACTGCAATTTCTTTTGAAAGTGAAAAATTAGATTTCATGACAGTGCAAATTTGTCTAAATGTCTAGAGTCTAAATGAAGACTTCACAGGGTATCAAAGTCATTATCCTTTATCTGGTGGGAGGTACGACTGTGATTTCAAATCAGTTTGTCTAAATGTCACATATGGATATGAAGCAAATGTTAACCTCATGGTTGTGCTGAAACCAGAGGATCACCAAAGTCATTCAGATTCATCCTCTGGGAACCATCCAAGTAGTGGATGCAGAGATATTTCACTGGAAAAGTAAACCTTAACCTGCTGATGGCACGAAAGGAAAGTCAGCAAATTATTTAAGTCATTAGGATTAATCCTAGTCAAACCCAAGTCCTAGACTGTGAAGGTAAATATGTTCATATGGGAGATGAAGTTCTGTATTTTCATAACAGAAATTAACCATATATGAGACAAATTTCCACTGCTTAAATTACACATTCTTTTTACCTCTAATTAAAGCCTGTGGCTGAAAGCAAAGAGGTGGTACTTCTACTGATTGTTATCAGCAACAATTCTAGAAAACAGGAAACCAGTAAATTATGACTTAAAGACAAAGTCAACTTTAAAATTTAGCAGCCACGGTGAAACTTCCCTATCAAAGGCTCAATTTGCTTTTCCAGCTTGTGTTGCCCCCCCCCCCCGATCAGCCTAACTAATTAATAAAGTGACAGGGATTAATGTGGCCTGTTTGATGACAAACAAGCCTTTAGAAGACCTAATTAAAACTGAACCTGCACCATTCATTACATTTGCTGTGGCCAAACATTGAATGTGTCAAACAGGAATGCTCAATTATTTGCACACACACACACACACACACACACACACACACACACACACACACACACACACACACACACACACACACACAAGAAAAAAAGAAAATTAAAAGACTATATTGAGAAACTTCAGGACAAATAAACCTCTAACTGGTTTTAGACGTCCCAGCTTGAGCTCAAAGGACCTGCAGTAATTCAATACCAGCACTAGGTTTCTCATTTCTCTGGAAACCCTGTCCTGCTGAACAACAGATGAATTTACAAACCAGCGTTGAATTATTTAGCCCAGTGTGGTACAACAGAGCTGACGGGCGGTCAGGTTACCTGCCACCATCGCCAAGAGATCAGCGGGACTCTTCCTTCTGGAAAGTCTCCATGGGATTTGGCCAGTGTTTCATGTGTTTAATGACACACTTTTAGGTGTAATGTCAGTTTGTTCATCAAGAACAGGGTGCAATAACACCAAAAGCAAAAGATATGAAAATGTATTTGCATGAATCAGCGGCGAGTGAAAGATTGAGGAGTTGCAGCTTGAATTTATAAGCAGCTGTTTTACATAAGCCGTCTCTCTTAGCAGAGCCGCGTCTTGTTTTTCCACAGTTACAGATGCAGAATTTGCCTCTTAAAGCCAACCAGAAGAGAATTTCTGTGCCTCTCCAGTCTTGTAAAATTAAAAGAAACTGCTGTAGCTGGTAGGTATGACCCAATAAAAATCTGAAAGTATAATTACATCTCCCTTGAAGAAAAAACAGCTTCTGAAGAGCGCTACACTGACTTTACATTTTAGTGGTTTGCAGTCTAATTAGTTATAGTAGCTCTATGGCCTTTAATTCATACACTCAGTCTAATTCCAATAAACAACTGCACTCCTTTTTCTAATTTCTTTAATAAATCCATCTGCATTTATACCAACCCGGTCCCCGGGGCACCATGACATGTGATAGCAGTTCCCATCTTTTTAAAGCCAAGTCTACTCTGCACCACTGCACATGTTGCACATGTCCATGAAATGCTTCCTTATGATTCTTATAGACTTGAACCTGCGCTTTTATTTCATTAGTGCCTCAGTAGGAAATTAACGAGTAACTAGCTTAATAAGTAATTCCTTTAGACATTTTCTGTTTCCGCCTTTTCCAGGTCAAGCATTTTCTACTCGTCTCTTTTTTTTATGTTTTTGTAAACTGAATATTTTCTGATTTGAGGCCATCAGACAAGGCCATTAGTGGAGAAAACAACCAGCAGACTGATGATGATGATGCCAATTTTCAGAAGCAGGTCTACAGTCTATTTATTCACTCTACGTACTAGCTATCTCAGAATGTGCAGTAAACTTTTTCTGCACAATACTGTGCAAAAGTATTGCCATCTCATTTGTTTATTTTTTGTGTCAAAGGAGCCAGACTTTCTCTTAATATTTTAAAGGGTTCTTAAGCAGCAGTTCTCCAGACTTTCTTCAGTTTTCCTTTGGGCATTAGCTGCTTTTGCACACATTTTTGGTCCAGTTCTTGTAACTGACAATGTTCAAGGGAATGATTTTGTTTGTTAAGCCACTTAATGCTAAATCATTTGAGCGTTAAAAAGGCACCAGGGATGAACTAGTGTTGTGTCTACATATAACAGACAAATTAGTAAATTTGAAGTTGTATTCTTAGGCACTTCACATTACTTGATCTATGAAAAATGCCAAAGAAAACATAGTTTGACAGTCATTAAATAGCATTACTGCACTCACAAGGTGATTTCCAAAGAACTACTATCTTAAAACTTGGTATATTTTGGTACAGTGTGCTTTCCATCTTTCCAAAAATTGAGGAAACAACTATTTACAGCAGCTGAATAATATCTGAAAGTGATGTTCTTAAGAAATAGGACAAAAAAACGGTGACATAAATATATGATATATTACACAAACTTTAAAGATCAGATCTTTAAAGAACATGAAGCTTGGATTACTGCTCAGCCAGCTAAGTGGCAAGTATGGAGAAGTATTTGAGTGAGTCAACATGGTCAGGTGACATTAAGATCAGTTCGGCTAAATCAATTAATTTTCCATGGGTGTTCCTGGAAAAGATTTCCTCCATGTTTAACCAGCAGACTAATGCCTTGCTGTAAAGCCCGTGCCATTTGTTCTACAGGACGTCTAAGCAACAGGAGGCAAACATAGTAAGTAAAGACTGGATCGGGCCGCTAACACTCACTTTTACACTGTTAAGCACCCTGTTAGCCCATTTTTGACATTTTAATCTTGTTCTCAAGTTGCATTCACTGAAATCTGCCCTGGAAGAGAAGCAGCTAAATACTCTCTTATTTAACTCTAGCACTGATGAGTTCTCATCCTACCGCAGCGGTTGAGTTTGGAAACCACCACCACCACCTCCACCACCTTCCTCCAGTGGGGCTCGTTCCTCCTGGTCACCTCCTCCTCCTCCACCTGTACCTCCAGATCGGAGGTGGCGCAGCTCATCAGGCTGGAGGGCGCTGTACCAAGCCTGCTGCCCGCTATCGGGAGTCAGCACGGGGCTCTTGTCCTCCTCCTGGCCTTGGACCTGACTTTGCACGGTCTTCACCATGTTCACCGCGTTCACCGGCAGCTGCAGCAGCTTTTGCATGGCGGTCATGTTTTAAACTTCGCTTTGACCTGTGGAACCACAGGTTGGATCACGTGGAGAGAAAAAACAAAGAAAAAAAAAGGCTGCGAGAAGATCAAAGCTTTCCGGTTAATCGGAGGAAATTCTCCTGGAGCTCCTCACACAGTTTTCATGCCACAAAGAGCAGCGTCAGCTACTCTGTTAGAAATCCTCCTTCCCTCTAAGGCTAAGTATGTGGACATTTCCTGCAAGACTGGCACAGCAAGCCTCCTCATAAATGCTCCATCCTGAGGAGAGGTTGCTGCCTATTCCCCATTAAAAATCCAGCGGTAGCTCCAGAGCTCTGTTGTATTTTTTTCTCTCGCTGTCTTCTGTTACTGCTGAGTGAAGCAGCAGACATCAGCTGCTCAGTAAATGGATGCTCGGCAGCGAGGGGCGTGGAGTTTTATCTGCCGTGACGCCTCTCCTTTCGCGACTCCTCCCTGCTGCTCATGTGGTTCCTGTTGCCGCACCAGTCACTCTCTTCCTCTTTACGCATATGTGTGTGTGTGTGTGTGTGTGTGTACAATATATTTATATCCCAGCTCACCAACAATGACACAGCCTCTCCCCACCTTTTGCCACGTTATCACTCGCTTCTCCTCGTGTGTGTCATCACTGCTCCAAATCCTCACATTAACAGCTAGAAACTGCACGTCTCCCCTCCACGCTATCACGCCGTCTATCACAGCTTCTTTTATCTGCCCTCACCTGGACTCAACGCCAGCGAGCCTTTGCAGAAATATTTCCTCCATCCGCTCGCGCATTACGCTTAAAAACCTTCCATCCTATTCATTTTTTATAGCCATCGTTGTGCCTCTTTTTTTCTCTCATCTTACATGACTCAGCTTTCTTGGCAGTGTCGTGATGAGGACATCTCTCTCTCTCTCTCGCTATATTTCTATGTGGCTCTAAACAAAAAAAAGAAACTGCCTTGAAGCACAACTGACATAACGCGCTTCCTGTGATCTGCAGTAGCTCAGTGACAATTTGTTGACATTTGCTTAAGACTAATAAGATTTTTATCCATGATGTCATCAGGAGCAAACCCTGGGCTTGCTGCGCCGGCAGCATCTTTACAGTAAACAAAAAAGCAAAAACAAATGCAGAAGATTTACAGATATCTGCAATTTGCTGTAGTTTTTTCAGAAAATACATTTGACAGTTTAACACATTTCAAACTCTGATCTCCTGATTCTCAGTTTAAAGCACTCAAAAAAGCCAAAAGCTGAACATCACATTTTTTTCTTTTAAACATCCAAATACAGTTGATTTGTGACAGCAACGACACAGCACTGCTGCTGGCTTTTCTTAACTTAGATTGTCTTTTTTTCTCTGTCTGGTCTTTAGGTGCAGTGCAGTGCTATCACACCCTCTAAATGAAGGAGGATGAGAGCAAAATTATATATGAAGACATAAATTAATAAACTCTCATATAGTCTAAAGTTGGATGATTCATATTCATGCTCTGTGTGGCCACAATGGAGATAAGGCTGGTACCTACATTGTGTTCGAGTTCGATGAAAATATTATTAACAATGTCATTACTATGCTAAATATAGGATTACAGCCAGTAGTCAAGCCTTAAAACCCAAGGAAGCACTGGTCACTACTGGCTATCACTGATATAGCACTTGTGTTGCCTGACAGTCAGTCAATTTAGGAGCTGTTTTTTAACAAATCAAACTGTGGAAAAAGACGCATGCATCCATTTTCATAGCTGCTTATCCAAATTAATTTCAAGGGGAAGAGTGAAGCCATCCCAGTCACTGATTACCTTTCTTTGTTCTGCGCGAGGAAACGGATGAACCATGAGGAAAACTACGTAAGCTCAGAAGGAACATGCAAACTCCACACAGCAATGCTCCAGTCACCAGAAGCCAAGTCAAATCCCAGAAGCCCATTCAGAGCCAGTAGTACAGTATAGTACAGACTAGTAAATGCAAACAATAATATTTAACACTGTTCAGTTTGAACAAAAACTTTAAAGACAACGCTTTGTGGATATAAGGTGAGCATATTAACACAACCTGGTTGTGTTTTACCAGGTCACATTTTAGGTAACTCACTTTTTTTTCTTTGTGAAGATATCATGTTCATATCTTAGTTTAACTATTTCACTCTTTCTGTCATAAAGATGGCATTTGATGACCTCCACTCAGTATACATCAATGAAAACATGGCTTGACAATAGGGCTGTTCGATATAACGATATATATCGGATGACGATATAAAAACATCTATCGTTTCATTTTACGCTATCATTTGTTTCGTGGTGTCGCAAAATAAACTGTTTACGGCAATATTTTTTCATCGTTTTGATGGACACTGTAGTGGCTATATTAAATTCTTAAAGTTCTCTCTTTCTCTTATATTTAATATAATCACACTATGGACGGACAAGCACCTGTTGTTATGCATTATGGTTAGCAACAACGACGGTAACAGCATCGCGTGTCCGCTTGTTTATGTTCCACATAAACCTTTCACAATAAAGCTCAAGATCCTGTTGAGACTTTTCAAAATAAACTGAATCACGTGAAAGAGCAGATCATTTACGGATGAGAAGTAAAAAAAAAAAAGCCCCCAGGTGCTAAAAAATAGACCTTAGACTCAGACGTTAGAACAGGCTTTGCCCCGCAGCACCCTGTGTAATAAATACTCGGAGGCTGTTACAACTTATGTCTAAAAATGTATCGTTTCATGCATCGGTTAAAACACTCGACTCCAGCTACATGACGTGCAGCTGGAAACACTTCATGCAAGTCGAGCTGCCCGAGATTCACAGAATTTACAGAAAATGTCACATTTTTGTGATTTATATCGTTATCGGGACGATAGAATTCTTATATCGGGATATGAGATTTTGGTCATATCGCACAGCCCTACTTGACAACCATTAGAATAGGTGGTTTTCAAAGGCGAGCCCTGGTAAGGTGTATGGGCACAGATCAATCTCAGTAACTTCAGAGGCACACCCATTTACTTTGTTATAGAAGCAGGCCTGAAATATTACAGAACCCATTCAGTTTAGTAAGAGAAACAAGGGTCACTCCTATTAGCCATCCAAACAAAAAGGAATTAACACAAAGATGGAGGAAACAGCAAGCAGCGTTGCAGAGAAGCAGCAGCACTGACATGTCAGAGACAGCAGTTGGCGAGGATGTGTTTGGTATATGACAAGAAGAAAGTGAAGCTGAAGTTATCGCCATGTGAGATGCAGTCCAGTTCAAGTTCCCTATGTGACCTATATCACAGACTTGATTTTTGCTGTCTGACAGAGATGTAAAATCCAAAAAGGTGATCCCGCGGATGTATGAGGAAGGGCAGCGGTCCCATAAATATGAAATTATAAGACTTGACTTTCTCTGACTTTACTAGACAGATACAGTGAAGACTGACCAGGAAAAAGAGACATGCAGCAAAGGGCCACAGGTCAGACTTGAACCCAGGCCGGCAGCTCTTAACCATGTAGTATGTGGGTACCTGCGCATCCAACTGAGCAAAACTGGCACCCAAAACTTTTGATTTTATTGTTTAAGAACACTGACCTACGATAATAATAAAAAAAAGAAGCCAAGGCCTTTTTCGTTAAGTCTTGAAAACAAATAGTCACCTGCATCAGTCTCTGGTCCTTTCAAAGTCATAATTTATTTGTCTTAGGTGCTGAAGGACAGTGTACACTTTTAGACGGAAGAAAGCCGATCTTTTCTCTGGATGATAATATACAAAAAGATTGGCACGATCTGAGGACCGAAGCAACGTTTCACATCCAACGTGTCTCCAAGGCAACAACAGTGAAGGTCGTGTTAGTGTGCTTCCACCATTATGTTTGCAGACAAACCGGTTAACCCACCTTCACTGAGCAAATTTTGACTTCTGCACACACACACATCTCTATATCAACAATATCCAGCCTACACTGGAAAAACAGTAAAGAGGGTGGAATTTAATCACAAGTAGTTTTGCACTAATGACTAATGTTTGCCAGACAAACTCGAGACAAAACCTCCTCCTCCTCCACATCCAAAGTCAGTTCAGAGCCTGAAATTCTGCCATCTATAGACACATGGCTCCCTCTGCTGGTGAATTACGGTGACGCTGAAGGCATTAGAAACTGAGCGGGGAATGTTCTTGCTTCACCCACACAGTCTTCTTATGCTTACTGCCCTTTCCATTGGAGCAACAAGTCGCCAGTCAGGGTTAACACAGATACAATATCCTCATTTCTTGTATCGTATCTTGTATCCTCAGTTCCTCTCCTCGTGCCTCTGTCCCTTTTCACCAAAGATGTGAGTAGAGGAGAAGCAGAAGAGACACGAGGAGAGAGAAACCAAGGTAACAGGGATTTAATAAATGAGACATCCTTTGCGTTGGAGCCTCATTTTAAAAGCATTGCTGAGTTTGATGCGTGGCACAACCGCATCATGAATTGTTTTATTTAAAACCCGACTACTGTTGCCGTTCACGCTATCAGATTTAATAGTGCATGTTGGAGTTTTTTATATTTAGGACCCACATGGCACAATGTGAAAGATTTACCTTTTCTAATCCAACACAGAAGCAGTTTGATCAGCTTAAATAATGGAAACATTGAAAACAAGTTATTCAATGAGTCTTCCTCTTGCAGTGGTTTGTACATTGCAGCTAGGGGTTACGACTCATGTACATGCTGCAGGTACACTTGCCCACCCTCGATTATAGCTCCTGCAGCAAGCTTCCTCTTTCTTCTCGCCTCCAGATGCATTTTACAGATTGATAGACCCTTTAGCATGCCATACTGAGATTGATATCTAGTTCACAGACAAAGGGACAGAGGAGGTATACGTTAGTGAAATTAGCAATGCCAATTCATTCACACTGACATTCATACTCACATCCAATTTAGGATCCAAGTGACCTAGTCTAAGCTAACATGTATGTCTTGGATCTGTGGGAGGAAGCCAGGGGGAACCCACAGAGGCACCTGGATAAAATACAAACTCCACACAGGAAGGCCCCAGCTGGCCAGTGAATTTGAGTCCAGGATGTCTTTGCTGTGACACAACAGTGCTAACCACTGCACTAATGTGTCACCTTTGTGCTCATCATGTCCAAAATGAAAAATACTCTCAGCAGCCAGTGGTACTCCTCAGCCTCCAAGTAGATACACATAGGTATTAATTTCAAAATCCTAGGTGACTTCTTTCTTGAGTTATTGCATTCACAAGATTCTCAGAAAGCTTGACCTGTGACCTATAACCTTGAGGACAAGTTCACTGAGATGCAAACTTATCTGAGATTTTTAGCAGATACACCTATGTTATCAATTTGAAACTCCTACAGTGTGTCGTTGCTGCCCTGGCAGAATGAGAACAATACCCCATCAGGCTTTCATGGAGGGAAAAGTCGTAAAAAGCAAAAATAAAACTGTAGGAGTGCACGGTGTGTTAAATTGTCATTTCTATTGCACCGTTTAATCCCATCTCATCAGATATTTTTCACGCATGACAATTTGACTTTGCATGCTAGTGAAAAAAATTATTTTGTAAATAATAACTTTCTGAAATTTGTCTGTAGTTAAGCAGTAGTTTCAATAAAAACAAACAAAACAAACAAAGAAAAAAACTATTGTTAAATGACTAAATGCTTTAAGCTGTGAGCCTCTATAAGATGTTGTTAGCTGGTATTAGTGAAACTTTCGTTAAAGTGGATCTAATGTTGTTGGACTTGGACACTGGTGAACAAACTCAGAGAGAAAGCTGAGGAGGTAATTTAGCCATTTATATAGCGCTTATCTACTCTCATAGAGTACTCAGAGCACTCTATACAACATGCCACATTCACCCAATCACCTCCATTCATACAAGCACTTTCTTCTATAACCCTCTTTACTTTACTGCTGTTTAGCTAACATTCACACACATTCACGCTCCGATGGATGCATTGGAGAGCAACTGGGGATTAGGATATTTGGCATCACCACCAACCTTCCAATCAGTAACTGACTTGCTCTACCAACTGAGCTACAGCCACCCCCGCAATCAGCTGTGTCGAATCAAAGACACATCTAAAACCTGCAGGACACCGGCCCATGAGACCTGGAGTTCCCCCACCCCTGCTCTAATCTGCTGACAATAAGTAACTGTGATGAATACATTCTTTTTATTTTCAATTAAAAATGTGAAAAAATTACTCACTGTAACTTTAAACACTAACCTTAAATTAAATAAACATGTAGAAGGAGCTGGAGCATGCTGACCAGGAAACAGGTGTATACCATTAAATTAAAAATGGCTTAATTAACAAGTTCATTGTCTAATGTGCAATCACAGACTGCCTCTGTATAGCTGTGTGTACCTCTTTCCCTGTTTGCGTGCCCCAATAAAGGTCAAAGTTTTCCAGATTACCAGTTATTATGCCCTATGTTATTTAAAAACATTTTTAAACACATTTTTCACAGTTGTTCAGGATGCAATATTCCTGAAAAAATGCGACTCAATGTAGTTGCAGTCAGGACTGATGACTGATGATTATTTAGCTGGTTTTGCTTTGTTTGTGATGACCTCATGATGTTTTATTTTCATGTATTAGTACTCTCTCTTGTAATGTGGAACTTCCTTCCGGTCCGGGCCTGTGTGCCGCCACCAGGCTGAGCTGCTGCCGCTGTCCAGCAGGGGTGGTGCTGAAACCTTGGAGCTCAGGCCTCGTATCCCCCCTGTGACAGGCCTTTCGCATCCCACTTCACAAACATGACGTATAAACACCGTAACCTTAAAAGCCTCACACACGTGAGCAAAGAAATGTAATAACAGGAGCGAACAACAAACAGCAGCGAGCCGCACACCGCAGCCTTATAGCGGCCAAATCACAGCCCGAGACTCAGAACTAGAAAACGAAGGCGCTGCTTTCAATCACGGGCCTGTAGCAACAAAGTTCAACATGCTGTCTGTTATCTATTGACGTTACAGCATACTTTATGTACGTGTTAGCGGACATAAGGCTGCCCCTCCCCCACCATAAGCTGGCCCATAACACCCCTCCCCACAATATGACAAACAGAAACAGTAACAGGCAGCACCGAGGCAGGTAGCTCGTACCTTTTGTAGTCGGAGGAGAAAATCCCTCCGCTCGCCGGATCGTGACCGTACTCCGGCTCCCCCACGCTGGACGAGCCGCCCTTCTCATCGTTAAAAGCGGAGCTGGCAGACATAGCCGTGTCTTTCAGTGTGTTTGTGTTTTTGTTCTTGTCGCTCTCAAAGAGCAG